AACCACCCACCCCCCCCCCCCAAAAAAAAAAGAAAGCCTACCCCACTAAACGGAGCCCCCTCCCTCCCTCCCTCCGGCCTCTCCGTGTTCTTCAGCGCCTCCGCCCGCGCCTCATCCTCCCCGGCGTCGATGGCCACGCAGCGCATGAAGAAGTCCGGGGGGCTCCTCAGACGTGCCCGAGGGGTGCAGTCCTTTTCCATTATTTTCCCGTGGACTGACCCAAATACTTCGCATCCGTTGGTAGGTGGTTTATCCCAATATTCCAGGGGTTGATTCCTTTTGGCTCTTTTCCAACATCGTACTCTTCAAACACCTGCTGTTTTTTGAGGGGTTCTGGTATATTATTCTTCAAAACCTGCTGTTTTTTGGGGGTTCTGATGGTTTTCTGGAATGAAGGATCCCTGGAAAGAATGGGGAAGTGTTCCCTAGACTGGTGCCCGGCCAAGGGGCCAACAAGTTCTCTTTTTGTTTTTTTTGCGGGGAGCCGGTAACTCACTTCAGCACCAAAAAGGGCAAGGCGATAGCTCATAGAGAAGATCACCACCCCGTTTTTTTTTTGGGGGGGGGGGGGTGTTCTTTTTTTTCTTTCTCTGATTTGTGTCTTCTTCTTTTTCTGGTAACACACCTTTTATCTGGTCTGGTCAAGGAGTTGTTATTAAAGCTGCTCACTTCCGATTGAGTAGATCGGCCTAAGCAAGTCTGAACCTTGTATTTACCAACAAAATGGCCTTCAAATAGAGTGACAAAAGTCCAGGAACTCGGGGAGTGAGGCAAAACGGTACAGCCTGGTTTTTACCTGAATTTATGACTCGTTACTCATCAAAACCGGGCAATCAAGTGGTCTAGCAAGAGCCATGTAAAGAGTTAAGAGGGCAGCGGCATCTAATTCCTTAATTACTTACCTTCACGGGTTTTGACTGCGGCTCACATGATTGCCCGTTACCGTAGACGAAAATAAAATACGTCCGGCACCTGCCGTGATAAATTCCAGTCCTACCAATTGGTGCGACCAATTTGTCCATCCACAGTATGTCGACTCGTAACAGGGGCGTTTCAAACAAGTAAAGCCTGCCTTTTCAACAGGTTCACTATCCACTCTGTTCAACCATCAGTTTCTACTGCATGTTTGGTTTGGGTTTGAGGTTACCCTTAGGGTGTACAGGGGCTTGGGGCCTTGGTTTCCAACTCGCCGGTTTTCCAGCGGAAACCGAGGAGTTGTTTGGTCGCAACTTCTTGGGAATGGCCGCAAGGAGGGGATGGGCTATGGCAGGAGTACAGTGCTCCCAGACTTCCCCTAAGCACTCCGAAAGGAAACGCACTTAGAATTGGCTCAGGTGATAGAACCAAAAGGGGTAAAGAAATAAAAGGACAGTTGCCAGACTGACCAAGGTCATCAACTATTGAACAGATTTGCCATACTCACTCTCTGATAGATGTTTAAAGGGGTGTCCAGTTTGAGTTTGGGACGGAGGGTACCTTTTTTCTGGTTTGAAAGGAGCACTCAAAGAAAAAACATTGAGGGTCCAATAAAGGACACACCCATTCCAGGTCTCAAAACTGTGCCCCAAATTTGGCGTGTTCCTTTTGCTGCCCCTTAAAACACCGCAACCGTTAAAAGGCAAACGAACCAACCGAATCTGTTTGCCATGCCTACCTCCCACGGATACGTCCCCGGGGAGCAAACAAAACAACAACAAAAACAACATACTGTGGATGGTTGTGAAATTGCTATCACGAAATGAAACCATGGCTGAAACCATTACGTTTGTTGGCATTTGGATGGGAATCGATCCATTCCAAGGTTTCTTGGTGACACCATTGTATGTTTCGCTTCCCAAGATGGCTTGGCCTGGCGGTTTGGTGGTAGCTCATGTGCTATCCCCAACAACTCCGAGCTGCAGAGCTGCCAGTGGATGCCAGTTATAGGGTTAGCCGTAGGGAACCCATGACCACAGCTTAGCTTGGAACATCACAGGTTACCCTGTTCTGTACCTGTGTAGTGCTCACCTGTCCAGGAAAGCCAGTAGGCAACCAACCCTTCGCTATGTTATACTCTTTTTTTTCAGCGGGTGGTTCCCGCCCTTGGTTACTTACAAAACAAATCCTTGGGGTTCCCTTGGGATTCCCTAGGGTTCCCGGGTACAGGACCACCTTCATTTTGCGAATGGGACTCCCACTCCATCAGTAGGTATCCTTAGGCTTCCTTAGATTTCCTTCAAGGTTCCTCAGGTCGGGTTCCTCCAAACGCCTCACCCCCGCAAAAAAAAACTCAAAAACAAAAAACTACTTTCACACCCCCCTCGCTCTCTCGCGCCAGACCCACTCACGCGCCAGACTCTCGCTCTGTACTCGAGGCGCTCGTCGCGAGGGCACTCCATGCCCAAAGAGCTGAAGTGCTGCAGCGCCGCGCTCGGCGGGCCGAAGTACACGGAGCGGCCCTCCACGATGATCAGCACCTCACGACGCTCGCCGAGTCGCCAAGGAGCTAGTGGTTTCGGGGGCGTCGGGGGCAACCCCCTGGCCCACCCAGGTGGCGCTTTTAAAGGAAAAAAACCACCACCACCGGCTTTGTGTTTTTAATCTAAGGAATATGTACGGTTAACTATGTTAAGGCTTATGACTATATAAGGTTTATGATTACTTGATGTTTGATCCTACCAACATGGTTATAACCCGTCGGGACAATGTGTTGACTGTTTCTGGGGGGTCAAAGTCAGAAGATGATAGGCTGTGTTCCCTCAACCCTTCTTCGAGGGTGACTTTGATCAGGGTTTCAAAAGAGCAGCGGGGCCCCATTTCACTGGAGATGATTGTTGGTCCTGCCAGCATGGGTTGTAAAGGCATATCTGGGACTGAGAAGGCAAATCCTATGAAACCAGCAAAACAACTGGCTAAGATGGCCAATGGGGTCTGATTTGCCTTGGGGGGCTCAACGCTCGACCCTCACCGCCACAGACTTGGGTAAATCGTGGTAGGTTCAAAGTCGCAGGGCCAAGAAGAGCTCCAGAGTTGACATCTGTATCTGTTTGCTGCAGTTCAACCTTCGACCCGCACCAACATGTGAAAGAACATCCATTGGAGGGCTTGGAGGGATCTCCATTGAGGTTCCAAGCCAAGATTCTCGCCAATCATTTGAGACATGGTCAAAACTCTTTCTATGGCCTATGGTCACAGTTCCAGCAGGAATCCTTAGAATGGTTAAGGATCCCTACTGCCAGGTGGATAACCATCCCAACGTTAACCCCAAGTAAAGGAACTGGTCTTTTCACCGTGGCACATTTGGGCGGAGTTGCCATTTTTGCTTCCGCTTTCCTCACCAGTTTGCAACAAATCCTTGGCCATGGAGCAGCGAAAATTGTGGCTCAGAATTGGCTCAGATTTCCCGTGGGAAACCCAAATCCCCAGCGAATTGGGACAAGGGCACCCCCTTTTTGGTGGTCGGAACGGAAAAAAAGTGCACCACTTCCAGTGCTGTTGGGTCAGCCCCCACAAGCAGAAAGCCAACGACGCTTGGGCACCGATTTGTTTTTGTTTAAAGCTTTGGCATCTGCAGGACCCTAAACTTGTTGGTGCTCAGCAGGGAATGAGGGAACAAATTCCCCAAAAAACCATCCCCTACGGTTTCCATTCAGGGAATGCCCAGGTTCATTCCCTCGTTCCCTGCTGAGGAGCAAGTAAAGCATGATGTCAAATCGAAAAGAGATTCCTCCCCCATTTTGAGGAACTTGGTGCATATCACAAACACCCACGACCCAAATGGGTCGAGAGTATCACCAGAAAAAGAAAAAAACAGAAAAAACACAAAAAACAAAAGAACAAAACATAAAATAAAATACAAAAAAAAACAATAAAACACACAGCCACTCTCAGATGCACCGCAGGTGTGGACCCTTATGGCCAGTTTCGAAGTGGATCCCAGTAGTAGGTAACCAGCCTATGTTCCTCTTGGTAATTGAAGGATGGTTCCCTTTTTTTACTATAGGGGTCCCCCCTTTTTGTGGCTTCAAAGGGAAGCCAAAAGGAAAACCAAGGTTTTGGAGGTGCCCTCGGGGGAAAAAAACAAACAAACACCCATATTACGGGAATGGAACCAATGGGTATGGCATAAGTAGCGCACCTTGTCGAACAAGTTGAAGACTTCTTCGCTGGGCTGGTGGATTGTTGCCAGCACCGTCTTCTTGGTGGTGTTTTCCCCGCGCGCGAAGTCGTGCAAGAGCTTTGTCACGTTGTACCTTGGCTGCAAGTTCAAAAGGGAGTCACCTAAACCATGGGCGTCCTTGGCTACACAGAAAACGGCAGCCTACCCCCTACTCCAAATACCTCACTCTATTTTAGGGTAGTTTGACGTTTTCTGAGTAAATACCTCCGTTGTTCGTTAGGGACTGACCGGATACCTAAAGCATGGCGTATTTGGAGATTGCGAGGGTTCCATCTATCGACAACCATGCCTTGTCCAAACGGGGGAACCACCGGAACTGTCGAACAACTTTCTCCCCGAATCAAAGGTTCTGGCCCAGCGAATCTTGACTGGGCTGTCCGTTTTCCGATCCCCTGCTGAAAGTGACGAACGCTTGGTGGGTCAAATGGAACCCAAACATAAAAACTAAAAACCAAAAACCTAAAAACCAAAAAAGAACCCAAACCGAACTCTTCGTGGATTAAAAAAACTAAAAACCTAAAAAACAGATGAACCAAATGGCTGGGATCGGAACCACCAAGTTGAAAAGTAACATAGATTGAAACATATCCGAAGAGACATTGATACGCAAAACAGATACAGCTGGTCAAAATAGGGCCCCCCCCCCAAAAAAAAAAAAGATGAAAAAGACGAGTTTCCTTGTGGTTTCCTTTTAAACACCAGAAAAAATACACCATGGTTTAGAAACTCTCACATCCCAAAAAATGATTCACCCAGCATCAAGGAATTACTGAGTCTGGAACCTTGGGTATGGTTTGTTCCGGATCGGCAAGCTCGCTCATAAGCCCAGGTGGTATTCTCACGAAGACAAAGAAAACACGGTGGCAGAGAACTCGCTTTGCCCAGCCGAGGCCCTAGGCATGATCAAAGGTCACGAAATCTGCCAACCAAGCGTCCTCAACCCTGAAAAACGGGAAATCACCCCAATCATTTCGGGGGTACTTCGGTGGGTGCCCAAAATATTGAGCGTAAACCAACCACACCCACCCACAAAACCATGGGAAATTGCAGCAAATTAGGGAGCTCCATGGTGCCCCTACGTACTTGCAATATTTAGGGCCTCCAGCATAGCCCAAGGGTGGTTTGAGGGTGGCAGTTTTTGAGGAGCTATCGCTGGCTGAAAGTCCGATTTTGGTTCTCTCAGGCATCCAGGGCTGACCACCTGGACTTCTTGACTCTTTGTTGAAGAAAAAACAGACACCAGAAACAGCAGCAATAAAAAAATAAAAATAAAAAAATGACAAAATAAACAAACACAAGGACACCTCATTTTTTGCGGATCCTTGCCGCGTTTCTTTGGAGCACCCTTTTTTCCTATTTCGGCCGAGGAGCGCCATAGCAGAGTCCAGTCCACTGGTGGCCTGGAGAAGGGTTTCTGGTCCCGTCCGTTTTGGGTCGGTGGGTCCAGTGGTATAAAGCCAAAAAGGTCCAAAAAGGAGTGGGCCCATTTTGATGGGTCCATTTTTGGGGGATCTGAAAAGGGGATACCTTAACTCAAAAACCAAAAAAAACGAGTCCCCTGGAAACAAACCGATTTCTCCGTTGCTTTTGTTTGAGACTAATGTTGGGTCGGGGCAAATGGGAAGCGGGTCCCATCCGTTTCGGAAAACCCGTCAAAATTCTGGTTCGCGGCTCGGTGCCCGTTTGGGGTTGGTGTTTTTTTGAGAAACCAAAGCAACCAAAGGCCCCCAAAATGGCGGGGGTCCGAGTCCTATTTTGACACATGTGGGTGTGAATCTTAGTTTGGGACCCGAAATGTGAACACCCGGATTCAATCGACACATGTCCACTTTTCAGGTTCCGCATTGCATTCATAGCCATTTGAGCCATCAGAACCTGCTATTAAAATGGTCTCTGGGTCTCTGGTAACCCCCCCCACGCCCACAATTTCATGCTTTGCACGCTTCATCGGGTTTCCCTTATTATTTGGTGCGCCTTTGCGCTTTCATCTGGAATTTGTTGAACAGTCTTCCCAAACAAAGGAATCTCAATTGCCCCAAACCGGACCCAATATCTCCGGTGCTCATCTTTCGGTGATTTCCCAACTAGTTTAAACTCAAAAGGCCATCAAAAGGTCGATTCGCTTTCTCACTTGAGAGGATTGGCCACAAAAAGGTTCAAACCTTTTGCCACTAACATATATGGTCCAGGCCCAAGAATGAACTAAAGTCCTTCCAGAACTCAGGTTCAGTGAGCTTTGGACTGAATCCAGAAGACAGAGCTTGCACAACATTCCTCAGAAACCAACCCCGAAATCTGGGCCTTCGTGGCCTTGCTTCGTTTCTCACTGACCTGCAACTTGAGCTTTTGTTTATCATGTTTCATTGGGTTGAAGGGGCATCCGGCACACTGTCTTGCGCGTCGCACATGGAACATTACGCACATTTCTCTCATTTGGCCCCTCCAAATTTGCTGTTGGTGGTGTGCTTTGTCAACTAACCACATAGAGAAAAGAACAAAACAACACAAACAAAATACACAACAAACACAACAATAAGTTCAGGTGATATCCCCAACAGCATGCGGTGCTCTTCTTAGTACTCGCACCACCCCGTAGCCCTCGCAGAACCTCGTGGAACCGTCGTGGAACCCTGGTGGAACCCTGGTGGAACCCTGGTGGAACCCTCGTCTCAGGGCCGCCCCGGACCACCCCGGAGCCTATCTGGGCTGAGACCCCAAAGCTTCCAGCTATTGGGGAAAAAACAACAGGAAGCATGATATTCCCCGTCTCGGTCTTTGGAGGGGTCTATCCTACGCCCAGGATGCTTTTGTCACGTCCTTGTTATATTTCTGGCAACTTGCCCAACATGCTGTTCAAAAACCCAACACAACATAACACAATATTTTGATGCAGTCAATGTGTGGCTGTGATAATCCATAATCCAGCCAAACACACTTGCCAATCTTTAGAAACCTAGGTCCTCCAGTAGAGAGGATAGAATAAGGGTACCCGATTTTTGTTCTGTAGTCTATTTTAATAGGGGAACCCTCACAACCAAAAACGGCTACTGGGGACCTACTGTGGATGGACGAAATCCATTTCGCACCACTTTGAAACCATGGTTGAAATAATTATTGGTATTTACAGGGGAATCATGAGAACTCAGGGTTTCTGAACGGTGGTGCGAAATGGATTTCGCAACCATCCACAGTAGCACCGGCTTTGGCAAGCTCGACTTGTCAGGTCCCTGAGGGACTCCGAAGCATCCCCAAACTTCGAGGGCCAGGAACCGTTGTTGTGAGACCCTTCCGTTCGGGACCTGGAGTCCACAAAAATGGGAAGTCGAGCCCTTCCCAACGGTAGGTGACTCTTTAGGTTTTCCATGGTTTTCCCTGAAACATGGGTCCCGAAGCCCAACTTTGGAGACTCGGGCCCAGGAAACGCGATCCACTCGCCTCGTCGGCGAAGAGCAGCGTGGGCTCGGTGAGGAGCTCCGTGGCGAAGGCGAGGCGCCGGCGCTCGCCCCCGGAGATGCCGGAGCCGATGGAGCCGATCAAAGTGTTTTGGCCTGGGCTCGAAGGAGCGGAGGGGTGGGGTGGGGGGGGGGAGGGAGGGGTGGGGAGGGCAGCGGAGGGGATGCAAAAAAGAATGCAATTAATTTCTTTTTTTGGGGGGGTAGCCCTTGAAATATTTCAATTGTGGACCCCAACCCCGAAGAAAAATGCAACCCTTTTCTGGGACAAGCGTTCGGCTTGGTGGCCGCTCAAAGCCCGCAAGCCGCAGTTTCTTGGAAGCGTTGTGATTATTCTGGTGGTTTTCGAGCCAATTTGTTTTAGAGGCACCAGTTTTTGGAGGGGCCCCAGGACCAGTAATGTCCTCCCAGGCGCAAGCGGGAGAACCGTTTGGGTCGGGGTCCCCCCCCCTTCGAACATTTTTATTTTGGGCCCCTCCGTGTTTCACAACCCCACCCCCCTCAAAAGTGCAACAAAAAAATGAAATTTCACTGGGGTACTCCCCCCCTCAAATTACAATTGTTAGGGGGGGAGATTGGAGCGGAGGGGTGGGGTGGGGGGGGGGAGGGAGGGGTGGGGTGGGGTGGGGTGGGGTGGGGAGGGAGGGGTGGGGAGGGAGGGGTGGGGTGGGGGGGGGAGGGAGGGGTGGGGAGGGGTGCGGTGGGGGTGGGAGGGAGGGGTGGGGTGAGGGGGGGGGAGGGAGAGGGCAGCGGAGGGGATGCAAAAAAAAATGCCTGGGCAGTGGAAAACGTAGGAAAACCCATAAAAACACAAAAAATAGAAAACGGAACTAATTCTCGGGAAGTGGTGGGGAGGGGAAGGGGGTTGATTTTCCATTTGCCGAAAAGCTTGGGGATTGAAATGCCAAAGTAAAGCTTGGGTAAACAAAGGTGGATGTATAAATACGTGTGCTTATACGATTGTCTCCCATTGCCACGGATAGGGTCTCTTGGGTTTCAGCCGGAGATCAAGCAGGGCACCCGTTAGCGTGCTAACGGGAGGGTTGCACCCATGAATCAACGAACACTTCACAAAAAAACAACAACAGGTGGCCGGCTTGACCCCAAAGTTGTGGGAGGAGGTGGGGGTGGTAGGTGGTTGACCAGGGCAAATGAAACTTGGTTCTAGATGCACCAAAAAGGGGGATGTGGATGTGGTGGGGTGGCTCTGGCTCTCCCACTCAAATGGCCCCAACAAGTAACAAAAATGACACTTTGTTGCTAGGTCTAACTGTGCCCATTTGTTTTCCGTGATCAAAGTCACCCAAGGAATGAAGCGACGCAACACCAGTGATTGATTTTGACCGCCAGAAGCAGGAAAACGGTCGAACATCCAAGAGCACGCACACACACAAACCCACACACACACTGACACACTGACACACTGAACACACTGACACACACACACACGCACACACACTGACACACTGACACACACACACACACACACACGCACGCACGCACGCACGCACGCACGCACGCACGCACGCACGCACGCACGCGCGCGCACACACACACTGACACACACACACACACACACACACACACACACACACACACACACACACACACACACACACACACACACACACACACACACACACACACACACACACACACACACACACACACACACACACACACACACACACACACACACACACACTGCACACACTCACACACAGTGACACACACACAATGACACACACACACACTGACACACTGACACACTGACACACTGACACACTGATACACACACACACACAATGACACACACACACACAATGACACACACACACACACACACAATGACACACACACACACAATGACACACACACACACACACCCACCGACCCACCGACCCACCGACCCACCGACCCACCGACCCACCGACCCACCGACCACCACCGACCCACCCACCCACCCACCCACCCACCCACCCACCCACCCACCCACCCACCCACCCACCCACCCACCCACCCACCCACCCACCCACCCACCCACCCACCCACCCACCCACCCACCCACCCACCCACCCACCCACCCACCCACCCACCCACCCACCCACCCACCCACCCACCCACCCACCCACCCACCCACCCACCCACCCACCCACCCACCCACCCACCCACCCACCCACCACACCCACCCACCCACCCACCTACCCACCCACCCACCCACCTACCCACCCACCCACCCACCCACCCAACACACCCACACCCACACCCACCCACACACACACACCCACAGCCCACCCACCTACACACACACACACCCACCCACCCACCCACCCACCCACCCACCCACCCACCCATGCACAGAGCACGTTTTCCCATCGGTGTGACCCCCTCCGGCCCCAAGCCACGCATCCCGACGAGCGGCACTTGCTGAGGCCCAGTTCCAACAACAACGCGTCCGCGCGCTTTCCGCGCTCCGCCTGCGTTTCTGCGTGATATCGGTCCCTGCAAGAAAGCGGCGCCTCAAAATAAACCAGGCGCAAACCGCAGGTTTTGGTCCATGTTTCCACTGATCCGAATCTTCTGATTTTGTCAACAAGAAAATATCCGATTCACCGATTGATATATGCCTAAGATGGTTTCAAAGGGGTGATGGCATACACAGCATCAGGGGCAAACCGCAGGTTTTGGTCCATGTTTCCACTTACCGGGCAAGCCATTTTGGAATTCCGGTTTATTGAGCCACAGTCAAATTGTTTCAACCATAAGGTTCAAGGTGCTGCGAAATGGGTTTCGTCCATCCACAGGTCTTCCAAAAGTGGTGTTCCTTGCTTGTTTCCGCCCCTTAGCAAAACAACAACACGGTGCTTTTTCACCGGGGGTCGGATTTTGAGACCAGAGCAAAAATCGGAGATTCCGAGGATCACCAAGCAAGATCAGAGAACTGTAGTGGTACCTGGAAGAACATAAATCAGCGGCCAAGGTAGGTGACAAAAGGAACCACCAGCTTAAAAAAAAGGATGTGTCTCGAAATAACTCTCCAAACATTTATTTCGGTGTGTCCCTTTACAAGCAGCCCAAAAAGGGTATAAACAGCCTCGGACAGGATGCATACCCAAGCAAAAACAAAAATGCTTGAAAGGACACCGGCCCACCAAACTCGCTCCCCAGCCCCTAAAATGTGTTCATTCGACCCCCCCCCCCGCCGTCACACAAACCAGTCAAATTCCCCCTGGAAACCTGACAAGTCTACCCTAGTAACCGGCCAAATTTACCAAGAAACCGGTCTAGAAGTCGGTCAAACTCCAAAAAAGAAATCGGTCAAATTGCCCCAACCACATTGCCCCTAGAAAGCCTAGCCACCAATCTCACACTCAAACACAGCACCTCAAGGCAAACCCAAACACAGTACACAGCCAGCCAAAAGCATAGCCGAGGCCGATCAAGGCGAAGAGTTTACAATGAGCTTGAAACCCAAGTGAGTTGATGCAAAGCGTGGGTTACATCTCTCAAAGCTCATTCCACCCACCGGAAAAATATGGAACACCTGGCCTAGCGGCCACCTTGCAGTAAAAAGTCCTTTAACGTGGAACCGGACCTTCGGGACCTAGTCCCTTAGGTCCTCCAGTAGAGAGGTTAGAATGAGGGTACCCGGTGTTTGTTTTGTTTTGCTTTTTTTTTTTTATTTGTTTTCTTTCTTTTTTCTGTAGTCTATTTTAGTAGGGGAACCCTCCCCCCAAAAAGGGCAAAAAGGGCACCTAGCTGGGGCACCTAGTTATGCTCCAGACCAGGACCCGAACGGCGCCCAGGTTTCCAAGTGTAACACCCCAAGCTCCTGCATCCCGGTTTTTCGCATACCTGGAGTCTCGACTCAGTTGTTCAGTGACCCTGGAAAAAAAGGGAACCCTTTTTGGGGAAGACATTTTTTTGTGTGGCAGCCACAAAAAAAGGGGAAAAACGGTGCCACTGAACAACTGAGTCCATGACCCTTAAAAAATGTTTGGTCATTACCCAAAATAACGGGGGTCATTGACCCATTGTAAATTCGGGTTAGAAGGAGACTGCAGCTACGAACACCTCCCCCGCATTTTTTCCCCCAGACACGGGCGACGTCGAAGCGTCGAAGAGGATGCTCGGAGGCGCCTTGGACATGCGCCCCATGCGGAAGCCGCTCTGGAAGAGCAGGTGCTCCCGCACCGTGAGCCCTGCGAAGAGCTGTTCGTCCTCCGAGGCAAGTCGACAAGTCTCAAGGCTTTGTACCGCGAATGGCTCCGGGTTTTTACGTGCCAAAAAAAGGGGCGCGAAAAACAACAAAATTGGGACCTCAGCCAGCCGGGAACCAACCACCGCGTTTTTCTTTGAGCACTTGGGATTTGGGGCATGGGAAAAAGCAGGTAGAAAGGAAGCATATGTTTAACCAGTGTCTCGCTTTTCTTGGCGGAACGGCGCACGCTGCCAGGGCAAGCCTTGACTATTTATCGTTGCCTTTGTCTGAGAAGCCTGTGATTTGTCTTTCATGTTCGATGTCCATTTGATCTTTGTGGTTTGTTGATCATATGTTTCATCTACTCCCAACAGGAACTCCACAAATAACAGAATAGGATTTGTTATTTCATTATATTAGAAGTTTGTCCAGGTAATACATTAGAAGCATGTGGATTGCTAGCTGCTTTACATAGAGTACCCGAATAGAATCATTATGCCAATATGCCATGTTCAAGCTGTGCCAAACCACACATGCAACAATATTATCTTGTTTGTGTCTATCATCATTTATCCTACTCTACGAGCTTCTCTCACCTTCACTCTATTCTATGATGGTTACATCCAGTAGAACCAAGGTCTTGTGTTTATCTGTGTTGACAGTTTCTCAATCGGTGTTATTTTCTTTGGATAGGGGGTCAACTTCCTGTAGACAATTTTCGATCTTATGGTCGTATCTTGACATGATGCAAGTATTAATATGTTCTAACCTGCATTTTACCTTTTTTTGTTTTTAATCTGTTTACGTTTCGTTTGTCCTCTTGTCCACTAGCATGGAACCTGACTGAGGGGTCCGGGAAGACTATTTCCTCGAAAAAGGTTCCATGTTAGTGGAGAAGAGGGTATGTTGTTTTTACTTTTGTTGTCGGGCCAAGCCTTGTCCCTCTGCACAACCAAGCTGAAAAGGAGATTCAGATTCCTTAAAAAAATGGAGAACTCATCCAAGGACCAAGGGGATTCCTCCCAAAACCATGCAAAAGGGGCCTCCTCTAAAAGTGGAATGCTCCAGGGGGAATGCTCCAAAAAGACACAGAAATTGGGCTGTTCAAGTGGCGATGTCTCATGAGAAAGAATAGGGTTGCAGCCCCATGAAACATCATGAAAGTATGATTCACACTTATCACTCATCGTTCTGATCACCTAAGAGTGGGCTGGCCCGAAAAAGGTAGACACACTTCTTGGCTTACCACTGAACTGGTTCACACCCCAGTGCAAAGTCTGAGTTCCAGAACTGGGAGGGAGCGGAACCTCCGATCCATTTCTCACGTCCTGAAACAAGAAGGCGCTGTGCTCGCGGATCTCAGGCGTCCAAGCTGTGCCGTTGATGCTGATCCTGCCGGGTGCTTCGGATCGGAGCCGAATCGATCTGGTGGCTTGGTGGTGTCCCTGAGGGCGTCCCATCTCCACAAGAACCACAGGTTCCCCAAACTACTGACCTCGGTTGCTTTCTGCTCCGCTGCTAAAAGTTTAACTCCTAGTGGTTTAATGCAAAGCCCATTAGTTGGCAAAAAGTTATAAGTCCTAACATCCAAGCAAAATGCACCAAAGTTACCTTTGGGTTAGCTTCCAGATAGCGGGAAGCTGGAAATTCATGGGCCCAATTGGTTTATCGGAAGTGAGGGACTCAGCCGATGAGAGGAGAATACTTCGTGAGTGGATATTTGGCCCCTTACCCCACCCGTTTGGTTTCCTATTGGGGAAAGCATTTGGACGTCTGGAAGATCGGATTATATCGGATTGATTCAAGGAATCCCCAAAAGACGATGAGACGCATGTTGAGAGGACCCTCAATGAATTCCTCGTTTCGGAGCTTGTGCAGAAGAATGGCAGGCAAGTGAGCATGGATATGAAAATCACACATAGGGCATCCCATAAACAGGACGTTTGCGTCAGGCGTTCGCTTGTTTTATCCCGGATTGGCAAGCACCAGCAAGGAGGTCTGATAGCAGTTTTGCGACAGCAATCAGCCTCAAAAACGACCAACTCCAAAAACGGCCCCGGCATAGGTGTCTTTTGGAGAAAAAGATCGGGTTTCTCTGGCAAAACGGGGCATAAAATAAACCAGTCTAAAGCAGTGGTTTCTAATCAAACCACCTGGACCTTAACAAAGGGAAGTCACCATCATTTTGAGCAAACCCTCCTTTTTTCTTAAGGGTTGCTCCTTAAGGGTTGCTCATTTTGAGGGTCCATCTGCTCCTCAAACTAAACAGGACAGATCTCCCTCGAGGGTCCTGGACCCACCTTGCAGCGGCACCTCCCCGATGCCCGCCAGGCTCCTCAGGGCGAAGTCGTCACCCAAAACCGCCCCCAGACTTCTTCCGTGGACTTCCGTACTGTGGATTCCTGGAGTCTCCATGACCCTTTAAAAATGGTTGGTCATTAGCCAAAATCATGGGGTCATGGACCCATTTTTAAAGGGTCACGGCGACGCCAGGTGGACGAAATCCATTTCGCACCACCTAGAACATTCTGGGTTCCCATGATTCTTCCCTGTAAATACCAACAAACAATGATTTCAACCATGGTTGCTAAGAGGTGCGAAATGGATTTCGTGCATCCACAGTAGGCTTTTTTCGGTAGCCGTCTTGAGAGTTGTTGGTGAATGAGTTGGTTGCCGGGTGGGTTTGAGGTGGGGGCTTGAGGTGTGTAGAGGGTTGGGGTGGGGTTGGGTAAGACATGTCCCCCTTTCCCCCAAAGAGGCAAAAGCAAGGCACTGGGTTTGGGACCAGCCCCTTTGGGTACCTGTGGTTTATGACTTCAGGTTTTGGGCAATTTCAACTTCTGGCCCGACTATATGCAGATGAAGAAAAAACAAATGGTGTCGTCCAAGCTAGGATTTAAACACTTAACCTCGACCAAAACCAGGGGGGTAGGGGGGTCTTTGACCCCCAAACCAGCAATCCAAATCACCAATTAAAAGAAACCTATTTTTTGAACGAGAGCCCAGAAGATATTTCCATGACTAGCTGCAGCCGCGGTGGAGAACCCTTGTTGGGTTGACCATTGCTCAACAACAAACTAGGAGATCAAACTCTAACATAAACATCAAAATAACAGAAAGAAGCAACAAGGGGAACACAATGAGCAACGCAACATTTACAGTCGTCGCCCATCCGTCTAATGGACACTTAGTGTGTGTGTGTGTGTTCTTCCTCCATCCTCAAGCTGGCCCCCAAGGCCAACCTTGGCATGGGACCCTCCAAACCTCTCCCTCAAACCCCCGAAACCCCTCCGAACTCCCTACACCGGTGAATCCCTCCCTCTCCCCCACTAGGTCCTCCAGTAGAGAGGTTAGAATAAAGATAACCTTTTATTCTGTAGTCTATTTTAGTAGAGGACCCCTCCCAACCAAAAAAGGGGGTAGAGAAAGGCACTACTGGAAAACCTGGCCAACGACTCCCCCCAAAACCACCAGGTACACCAGGGCCCTCTATTTTTCGACCAAACCAACCAGGACACCAACTCCCCCCAAACCCCCCCGCCCCTCCCCAAACCGGGCGCCCAGGCTTCAAGAGCGTGCTCTTGCCGCTGCCGCTGGGGCCCATGACCGCCAGCAGCTGCCCAGGCTCCACGCAGCCCTGAGCGTTCTCCAGGATCTGGGTCTGCCTCACCGCGCGCACTCCACTGACCCGGTTGGTGATCAACCAGGTTCTGAAGTGGAAAAGACGTGGGCGGAAGTGCGCATCCGAAAATCGTGAGAAAGTTTGCTTCAACTGGACACTAGGACCTACCTGGAGTCTCCCTAAGGACCCTTTAAACATGGGTCCAATGGCCCTATTTTTTTTGGCGAATGACCCCATTTTAAACGGGCCATGGAGACTCCAGGTGGTGATCAACCAGGTTGCCTAAAAGACCCTGCAAACCTGCAAAACAGCTGGTCAACTAGGATGCCCAGGTTCTCATGTGGACCCAGAATTGGCGCTGCACATCAGATGGTCAGCTAGAAACGCACAATGTGATACGGTGGTTGCGAAATCCGTTCAGCCACACCACGAAATGACACCATGATGTTGAAACCATTCGTTTTGTTACGGTAGTCACAGGGGAATCGAATCTGAAACCGGGGCTTCTGAAAGCTGGTGCGAGATTTCGTCCATCCACAGGACGACTTTGGTCGAAACTGGCTCGTCTTCTAGATTGATGGGGTTTCCCGTGAAAACCCACCAAAAGAGCGGCACTCAAAAGGATGGTCAGTCTCGACTTGACCACTAAACCAACTAAAAAGAAAAAAAGCCGAGGAACCGGATGGCTGGGAACCCGTTTTTTTGTGGCTTTAAAGGGAAACCAAAAGGACAACCACAATTTGTCGAGGGGCAACTTTTTGAAAACACTCCCATTTGGGTGGCTCGTCTTTGGGATGACCAATGGTGTGGATTTCCCCTGAAAACCCAGCAAGGGGTACTCAACAAAAAGGCGCCCCCCACCCCCACCCCCCCCCATTTTTGTAACATTGGACGCTCAACGGCGGGCCTGATCTCCATTCCGGAAGGCCTTTTGAAGATTCCAAGAGTTAGGCACAACTCATCCTCCAATTCACCGCCTTTTTCCACGGAGACTGGGATCCAAAAGATAAATTTGAGCCCCCTCACAGTGTTGGGACTTTCGGGGACCCGCAAAGCTTGGCAACCCCTGCGAACAGTTCCCATCGGGTGACCAGTGGCTTCACAAGCCTCAAAACTGAACGCTCCATCGGAGCGGATATATGTTACGGTGAAACTTTTGCGGGGTTCTCTTTTCAGGTCGACAAAGGGAAACCAAAGGAAAAACACACCATCTGGGTGGGGGCCTCCTATTTTGTCCAAATACCATCAGGAAGGAGAAAAGCTAATAGGAATGTCACGTTTCAATTAGATCAGTTGATGAATGCCTGCCCAATCTCAGCTGTGCCAACCACCTTCCCATGTACTCGTGTGACTCCATAGCTTTACAACGTTGCTATCATGCAACCAGCTTTCTCTCAAGGATTTACTAAGCCTCATGTGAGTCACAATCAAAACCCGGTATTAGAATGGTCGACCCAGAACCATGTAAAGAATTAAGAAGCCGGCCGTTATGGTTGGGATTGTCCCTTACTAGCCTTCATCTACCCGGGTTTTGATTGTGGCTCATGTGCGCTTCCCAGGTTCCTTCCCAGGTTCTTTGCCGCACTTGTCTCATCCCCTCTTTCTCACCAGCATCACGCCGACCAATCAAGTGTCGTTTGAGACGGCACCTCCTTAACAGGGTGCCAACCAAATCTAGCCCTGTGATTTACCACTATCAAAGTCCCCCACCCCCTAAGCGGCAGGCTAAAGGGAAACAGCCCCAGTGTCTGACTTTGACAGCCTTCAGAACAAGTCAAAATAGTGACCCCATCAAACTTGGATACTTGCAAATGCATTTGTGACACCACAGCCTCCATGCACTCAATGCGTTCCACTCCCTAAAGTCTGATTCTGATCCTCAAAGGCTGTAATTACCCCATGTTGGGTCCATCAGATCTTGTTGACTCTACTTTGACTTTGAACCGAATTAGGTCCTAACCAGGGTTGTCAATGACTGTGGATCCACTTAGCCTTGCAATGGATGTTGACCCCGGAGTAATCAACGCAGGCCCGTTGGGGGTCAAAATCCCAGCGATCCGGATGTGGAACAGTCCCGGATACAAACTTGCCACTTCGTCCCTGGATGGCCTGGGAGCAAGAGAACCCCTGAAAGTCACCATGTTTTGCAGTTGTTTGGTTGATTTGCTTGGTGGTTCCGGTCAAAACAACTCGTGAGAGACTCCCATAGTCAGCTCTTCCTTCCTGTTCCACTACTTTTCTTTCGCCATCTTTGTAGCCCGTGGCATTTGAGCATAAGACACCGTTTTGTTTCTTGCACCCACTAAACTTGAAGAGAACCAACCTAACTATAAGACACGCCAAGAACAGTGGAGTTGAACACAAAAAAACAGGGGCATGGTGCCATCTAATTGCTTTCACCCTGGAGCGCACGTTTCACCCACCCATTGACTTTCGGTTCTACCACCATGGTCATAAAGGTTTAAACCCGGCAATAACGCATACACCAGGTAGAACCTAGTAAAAATAATAATAATGCCATCCATCGTCTTGTTTCCCCAGAGATCTTCGGGGCGAAGGGGAAGGCCAAAGACTTGGACCTTCCTGGAGTCTCCATGACCCTTGAAAAATGGTTGGCCGTTCGGCAAAATAAAGTGGTCATGGATCCCCCCTTTTATTTCGGGTCATGGAGACTCCAGGTTGGGGCACTGGGGATTTTTTGTCAAGGTGCTTTCTGGCGCCGGTCATGTCGGTCCTCATGACCTCCACCGTCAAGTCCTGGAACCGCGAGCCGCGACGCGAAGCGCGGCTGGCGTGAAGGCGGGCGCGTGAGACTTGGGCGTGGAGGGGTGGGTCCAGGATCCAATTCCATCGAGTCTCTCGGAGAAATCGTCCCCACATGGAAAATACGGGTGGCCATAAATTCCGAGATCTCCCGTCGTTTCCTCCCCCCTCCCCCAAGTCCCATTTCTTGAGGGGGTGCTCTGGTCGCACCTGGGAAGCCGAAAGGAAGCGATTGGAATCTTCGTTATGCCACGGATTCTAAGACACGAACAGATTTTCATGACCAATGATGGGGAATTCTTCGTGGGTGAGTCTGTTGGGGTCCCCTTAAGACACACCTAGAAAAAGGGTTTGTCTCAAAAGGGGACCTGCAAATTGATGGTTTTACTTTTAAGTTCCCTTCACCGCCACTCCAACAGTACCCTCAAAAGAAAACACTTGGTTGACGTTGGAAGGGGAGCAAGCAATTACTTGTTTGCAGTTAAGTGGTTGGATTTCAACCACTTAACCACACCAAGCAAAAATGGGAAACATGTTTCCCGCCGCGCCTCCCACTGCACCAGGATCTCGGGGCGTTGGATGCTGGTGAGCTGCGTCTGCTCTTCCCCGTCGCGCCTCGTCTTCTCCGTGGGGCCGAAAAAACGGGGCCCCTCGATGCCGAACAACGGCACGGCCCAAGTGCTAAGTGTGGGTGGGTGGATGGGTGGATGGGTGGATGGGTGGATGGGTGGATGGGTGGGTGGGTGGGTGGGTGGGTGGGTGGGTGGGCGGGTGGGCGGGTGGGCGGGTGGGTCTGCTTGTTAATGTTGTTTGTAAGCTTCTTGGTGTTCAAGGGAAGCAACAGGAAACCAAAGACTTTTTGTTCCTCCTATTTTGACACATACCCATGTTGCAATACTTTCTAGACTGTGCTGCAAAAACGCCTGCGCTCCTCTTTTGACTTTCAGGGGGAACCCTTCCCCAAAAAAAAGGCAAAAGAAGGCATCACTGGGCAACTGGGTGGTAAAGTGGCAAAGGCAAACCGAGCTTTGCTCACCGAAGGACTCATTGCGCAAGGAGCAGTTGGTTCCAGACTGCCGGCCTGAAAGTGATTCAGCCAAAACCCCGCCCTTTTAAGCCGGAAAAGTCAGCAGGCTTTCTTTCCAACCCGAACGGTATGGCAGGAAGAATTGAAAAAAACGCTGCTTTTTGCACCCCCCGGCTAGGAGGAGTAGAACTGACGCCCAAAAGCCATAGAGGAAAGCCCCTTGTGGGGGCCTCAAAGCCCCGTTTTTTGGTGCTTTTTCTCGGGGGGGGGGGCGCATTGTCTCAAACCAGGAGGCCCCCCGGCATGTTGGTGATTTTGAAGGAAAATCGAAAGGATGACCACCGTTTGGGGGAGTCCAAATCCTAAACAGAGACACACCCATGAAGACAAGGAATAACTATATATATATATATGTCAATTATGTATGTTGATAGACAAGTATTTGATTATCTTAACAATATATGATATATGATATATATATATATATATATACATATATGGCCTGAAACATACATATATATATGGTGGTTGATCTAAATTCCTTTGTCTCGAAACGGCCATTCTTTGCGAATATAAAAGTTACTTTCGCGAATCTTTCGCGGATTCATCGCCGTGCTCTTTTCAGTTCTCGAGTCGGAGAATCGCAGCTTTTAAGTGCCAGCGTTGTAAGCGACATGACGATTTCCCAACTCCAGCTGTAAAGTCGCAACTTTTCATCACAGGGGTAGTACATGACATGCGCCGGCTGGAAAGTCGCAGCTTTTCGTTCGCCGTGCAGCTCCAGCTTGAAGTCGCAGATTTCCAGTACCAAGCTAGTATACTGACTAGATCGGCGCTCAGACTTTACCTCCCCTTGCAATCGAAGCCTGTGCTTTCGCGCGGGCTTTCGCGGATCTTTCGCGGAACTTTCGCGAAAAATCACCCACGTTTCAGAGCGGAAAGCCACCGACTAACACCCACAGACACACATACACAGGCTTGGAGCACTAACCAGCCAAGCAGGGTATCAAACTGTAGCCTCACCAGGCTTAATCAGCGCAACATCAACAAAGTGTTTTAATCAGAATAGAAGGAAGGCTCAGCAGAAAAGATGAACGGTTCCACATATCATTGATTAACCAGATACAGTTACGCAAAACTTTCGCGAGAAAAAAAGTTACTTTCGCAACTCCATCGCGAATCTTTCGCGGAGCTACCTCAACCAACACCGATGGTCACCGAATACTAAACTCCTTACAAGGACCTTTAGAACGACTCCCATATATATATATACAATATACACAGGCTCATTTGTCGGCTTCGATGTTCCAGACCTTCCATCACCCAACCGCGGCCCCTTCGCCTGAGCTCCCCCTTGGTGTCGTCCTCCGGCGCCGCGGACTCGAACTGCCGGGGCCGCGCGCGGCGCCACAAGGCGAGGAAGGCCAAGAGATGGTAGATCCCCAAGGGCAGCAGCAGCCTCGGCTCACTTGCGCAGCAGCCCCCCGTTTTTTCGGGATATGGAAATGGGTCAGAATTCAAATCGGTTAGCCCCCAACATCCCAATCCAACCACAAAAATAGGTTCTAAAATGATTGGTGAATTCACCTACCCCAAAATGATACCATTGGTTTTGACCCACAGCCAAATCAAAGGTGAAGGGGGAACCGAAGGTCATTTCAGGTCGATTGGGCAAGTGAGTCAAGCACATCCATGCATGACCCCTTGGGCCCCTTGGTATGAACAAGTTTACCACTCTCGGCTTACTTGCCCCGTTTTTCGGGATATGGACATGGCCTGGTGAAGTCAAACCCAAAGAAATTAGTCCAAGAGAGTCGTGCCCAAAGGCAGCAGCCTCGGAACCGTCCAGCCATTCGGCAGCGCTGCAAAAGGAAACCAACGGGAAACTCAGAAACCCACCATTTTGGCGGGGCGCCGAAAAAAGACACTCGGTACCCGGCGACTTTCTTCCTGGAGTCTCCTTCCTCCGCCATCTCAGTTGTTCAGTGACCCAGGAAAAAAGAGGGAACCCTTTTTGGGGAAGACCATTTTTAGTGTGGCAGCCAAAAGGGTGCCACTGAACCACTGAGCCATTCTTCAGCTTGCTTGCCCCCCGTTTTTCGGGATATGGAATTGGCCTTGGGTCTGAACATCCCAATCCCCACTACAATAGACTAAAAGGTCGATTGGTCAAGTGAGTCAAGTACATCCATGACCCCTTGGTATGAATTTGTTTACCATGGTGAGTTCAAACCCAATGCAATTAGTCCAAGAGCATCGGGCCCAAAAGCAGCAGCCTCGGAATCGTTTCGGAATCGGAGGGCGTTTCGGCAGGTAACCCCAAGCCTAATCCCAAACGCCCAAACCCCAAGTCCTAAGTACCGTAAGTCCAAGAGCCCAATCTCCAAACCTGGGTAACCCTTGGTATTTCTTAGTAGGAGACCCTGAAAAGTTCTGCACTTTGACTTAGTTCATGGGCGGTTCAAACCCATAAAGACATTCGTCCAAGAGAAGGATCAAGGCAGCAGCCTCGCTACCGGGCGAAATTCTTCAGCTGGTGCGATATCTAGGGAATGGAAATCAAGTCCGGTTTTTGGAGGCGAACCTGATTTGTGGGGATTTGTGCTCAGTAGGAATGCACCTAGCGATTTCCTGAAAACCAGAGGTGATGGATTTTGGATCATTCCCTCATACCCGGCTGAGCACCAGCAAGTTCTGGTACACCCATGAACCCTTGGTATGAACTAGTTTACCACTATGGTGAATTCAAACCCAAACTGTTTTGTCCAAGAGAATCGCGCCCAAAGGCAGCAGCAGCCTCGGTACCGTCCAGCCCTTGCTGTGACTCACTGTTGATCGAGGTTGGTTAATTTCAAGCAACCTGGAACTTGTTCGTCACCGCGAAACGTGTCCAGACCCGAAAAGTTCAGGAACTCAGGTAGTGGGATGAACTAGTTTACAACTATATGGCCATGGGGCATAACCTATGGCTCCATTTTGGGGTGGATGAACATCCATTTGCCACCTATTTTGATGTTCACCAGGGGTACAGGGTTTTGACCCACAGCCCTATGCTGCATACCAAAACAAGCAGTCCAAGAGAATCTATTCAGCTGAAGGTACGTCCATGAACCCTTGGTATGAACCTCTAGTTTATTGGGCAACTAGTTGCTAAAGGTTATCCTCGGACAATCCAGATCTCGCGTGTCTACAGCTTTGAGTTCCGACGGTTGGTTGAATGGAAAACCACATTATTTCGGGCCTACACTGTTTGGCCCTTGGCTATGACGAAATTCGGCCAAAAGTTCAGAGTTGGTCCATTCACTTTGGAAGTCACACCGTGAGATGATGAACAAGTCACTGGCAAAGTGCACCTTACTTGTCCAAAGGACCTGGAATAAGAGGTTGACCTTTTGAGTTACTAAACGGACGACAAAAAGGGGAAACAAAAGGGTCGGGAAAAGAGCACCCCATCTACAGCGCTGATCGTTTGACCACTTGAGAGATGGTTGGGGCGGGAAGACTCTTTGGGCCCCCCTTGACTGCCAAGGACCCAGAAACAACGGGACAGAAAAAAGAATGACCACCGTTAATAGGGCGAAACATGATTGCCCAAAAGAATCAGGTTGTACTACGTCAAGGTGAGAGGTCGATGCGTGTTGCTTCCATTTGCTTCCTGTAGTGATAGGTTCCATTTAAAACAAACAGGGGAAACAATAATAATAGCCAAAACAAACACATTTCAGCAAACGGAAGGTAAGTGAGTATGTTCAGATCATGGAATATCACACGCAGGAAGCCGGCTGGCTCGTCGCTTTCCCAGGCCCGTGACAAAAATCGTGACTTGTCCAGGCGAGCAGCCACAGTATAATGCCTGAATAGCTGGCGTCCTAACAAAAGACCAGGTGACAACAAATCGGCGGGTTGAAAAGGCGGTTCCCTTCTTATGAGTTCTCTAGCCAACGGGTGGAGCCAAAAAACAACACCCATGTGCAGGATCGGAATCTGCTTTTGGGAAAGTAAGGGACCCCGTGTTTGGGCTCCAGGTTGATTTGTACCTTTGAAACATGTTTCGTGATATATTTCATTGATTTCCTTTTTCTCCCTTTGATGTCTTTTTGTTTTCGTTTGGTTCCCTTTCCATCAATACAAATGGGTGTGTCTCTAAGTAGGATTGCCTGAATATGACAGCTGTTTGCGTTTGTTTAACTCAAACATGTTCCAGAGGTTCCCCTCCCAAACAAGCTCAAGATCTCCAATGAACAAACTCACGTATCATTCTGTCCACAACCCCAACCTCCGAAATACTAATCATGTTTCGTCAATCCTGAAAGGGCACCACAAGGAAAACAAACACATGTAGTGAACTACGGTCAATTACAGCCTCCCAATTGCAATACACCGCCTGATCCTTCGCACGTGGTTGGACATGGACATTGAGGTGCGACGCTAACACTCGGCCCCTAGGACTCTTAGTTTGCTAAGTGGTTTGTTGATGGTTTGCTCACGTCCAACTTTTGGTGGGAAAATTGAGTGGACATCCACCGCAAGCAGCAAGCGCTGGCAAACCCAAAGCTCCAAAAGGGAGAAACCAGGAGGGCTCTCCGGTCCTTCTCCAGGGCCCCTTGCAGCAAAGGACACACGTTGGCCAAACCAAAAACTGCACGAAAGAGTTTCTACATGTAGCAGCTGATTCTGTTGTGTGGCCTTTCAGGCAACTTATTCATTCCGGTCCATTAGTGAACCTTACTCGAAAGAGAACCCATTCCCTGCCAGTGAGTAACATCCCATAGTATCTACAGTTTAACGCGGAACTCCAAACAAATCATGGACCCTTTTCTTGGTTTCGATATGAACGTTATTGGGGGATTCTCCTGTAAGTTTCACGGCAATTGGGGCACGTGCTAAATAAGCAGACACTGAACCACGACGAAACCGACCTGACGTCGGATGCTCCTGGGAGATGCCATTGTTCTCCAGGACCTGTCGTGTTCCCTGATTGACGGGGTGCATGACAAACGGGTGAGTCTGACCCCACACAAGGGAAGTCCTTTGAGACTGCTTCTGCTTAGCAAAAAGTGGCAACAGGCAAGAGTACTATCAAAGTACCCCGATAGGTTAAATTGAAATAAGGCCTTGTGGTATCCCCAACAGCCCCAGAAACCCAATGGAACCCGCCAGAATCCTACCTGAAACTCGCCCTGGAACACATCTGGGCTCTGGGCAGAGCTTCCAGCTGTTGAGGAAAACACGCATAAGCCCCAAACACCTCCAACTGCACTATACAATTTCCAGCTCTAGATATAACATAAAAATATAATTTCATGTGATATCCCCAACAGCATGCGGCGCTCTTTTCGACCCTCGCGGTTTCACCTCAAACTAGTCGTGGAACCCTGCGGAACCTTACCTCAGCTCCACAGTCCTCGCAGAACCCTGCGCCGAACCCTCGCGGAACCCTGCGGCACCCCTTGCGCGTCCGCGGAACCTTACCTTAGAGCCGCCCCGAACCAGCCCGAAGCCGATCTAGGGGAAGACCCCCAAGCCTTCAGGCGTTGGGGAACCATTTCTTGAACTTTACACCTGGCCTGCACCACCCTCGGAACTTTCCTGCACCACACCACCCATTCCTTGAACCTTACACCTGGGCGCAACCTCCGAAACCTTGGCTTGATTCTAAATGTGGCCTGACCTCCCCGGAACCTCCGAAGCTGAGACCCTTTAGCTTTCAGCTGTTGGGGAAATAACCTAAACCCCAAAACCTTCCTAGCCCCAGAGAAAATGAAGTTAACACATAGCATGTCTCACAAAACCTGCCACGGGAAAAGACAACACATAGCCCCCACAAAGCCCAACTTTATTATATACCCCCCCAGAAAAGAGAACACACATCCTGCCTCCTTGACTTTATACTTTTTGGGAAGACCATTTGGTTGCTGAATTCAAAGTCTGTAGCCAAACATTTGTTGGTTGCCATCCACTTGGGAAGTGAGAGAAATAATTCAAACAACGTGTCCCAGAAAGTTGTCAGAGTCAAGACCTTCACTTGGATCTCAAAACGAGCTCCTGCCTGCACACCGAATTGGATGCCCGACAAATCTGAAGTAATGGTTGGCCAAGAAACAAATGCTTCTTTGGGGAAAAAACCTTGGCCCCATCTAATGTTGACCTCGGATAACTAAACCCAATTAAATCACTAAACCAGGCAAACCCCTTATTCATAATCAGGGTATATTCATCCGGGGTCAACAACACCGCCCAGGCAAAGAGGCCCCACCATTTGCAGATACGTCCCCTGGAAAACATGAGAAACATATAGTGAAATATCAATTCCTTTTCAATCCAACAGCTTTTGCTTTTTGCAAGTATGTTTTCCGTCTTCAGCAACCAGCTTTGGTGAAACAACATAAAGCCAACCGAGGAAAAATGGAATTAGACATGTGCTCAACCCAAATGGCTGGGGGTCAAACATAGGTACCCAAAATGGAACCGTGGAAAATGAAACCAAGGACTAAAACCTGCGGTTCTCTGGTTGTTGGCCTGCAGCCCACTTGACGCCACACACGGCGCCCCAGGCGGGCACGGCAGGTCCCCGTAGTCCTGCGGTTTTCGAGGGTTCGGCGAACAAACTCCCCCAGAACCACGAGTCAGCTTTTCTCTAATGTTGACCCCATATCAATAAATAAACCCCCGTCTCTTAATATGGGGGTGGATTCTGGGTTTAGTGGGGAATCAGGCCAATTTTGGAGGGGGACGCCCCCATACTAATAAACCGGGTTTGACTGATATGGGGTCAACAATAATCACTTGGAAGTTCGGTTCTCAGGGATAGTAAGTGGGGATCGCCACCTGGGGTTCGTATATAACTTGGGTAAGTTGTTGGTAAACCCACTTAGAAGTCCCGAACGTTTATACAAAGTGGCCAACCGCTTACTAACTTGACCAAAACGACCCATCCTTCCATATTTGGCCCCCCTTTTTTGGCCCGAGAATGAAGACTCATTCTTTAAGGTGTTTTGGGGGTTGATGGGCCTCATATGTAGGGTATTGAGCTCCTAGGGAAAGAAAGACACACCCATTTGAAGAGGGTTTCCCTTCATGGGGAACTTTGTTTTGCCGTTGACTCTCTACCAGGCCGAAAGGGCCAGTTCAGGCCAAAAAAGTCGAAGCCCCCCCTCCTGCTAACCGCTGTTCTTACTACCTAATAATTTTTGGACATGCTCGAAGAAGCAGCTTGCTGTGGTGCCTGGAGTCTCCATGACCCTTTAAAAATGGGTCCATGACACCAGTATTTTGGTAATGACCCAATTTCTAAAAAGTCATGGAGACTCCAGGTGGCCTTTAATGAATTCCGCCCTGGCACATGGGTAAAACCAATCTAAACCTCCGGTGCCCATCGATTTCCATCCAAACTACCTGGAGTCTCAAACTAGATGCCCCTAAAAAAGGAAAATCATTTCAGAAGTTCGGGGCAGTACCCTATGTTTAAGGGTTGTTTAAGTTTGCTTCCGATGAACACATATGGACAAGCTTTGACTCCAGCCCCCCAGATTTCTTTGTTGGCCGCTGTGGTGTTGGCCGCGAAGCCACGCGCTTGCCGCGCAGTTTAGGCGTTTTTGCGTTTTTGCTTCCGCGCATTCGCGCGTTCCGCGGGTTGCACGAGACTCAGTTGTTCAGTGACCCTTGAAAAAAAAGAACCCTCTTTTTCCCCAACAGCTGAAAGCTTTGGGGTCTCAGCCCAGATAGGCTCCGGGGTGATCCGGGGCGGCCCTGAGGCAAGGTTCCACGAGGGTTCCACGAGGGTTCCACGAGGGTTCCACGAGGGTTCCACCAGCATTCCACGAGGGTTCCACGGGGTTCTGCGAGGGCTGCGGGGTGGTGCGAGCACTAAAAAGCGCTGCTGTTGGGGATATCGCCTGAGCTTCTTGGGGAAGACCATGTTTGGTGGGACAGCCACCAAAAAAAAGGAGAAAGAGAAAGGGTGCCACTGAAGAACTGAGTAAACTCGAAGTTTGGTCAAGGATGCAAAACCTCCGAAACTTCGAGCTTGGTTCGCCCGAAGGTGTCCATTCTTGGAAAACGCAAACCCCGCGCACGAGTTGCATCGCCCGCGGAGAAAGATCTCCTGCCACTGGTTCACCATCAAGGCCTCGAAGCCCAGGCGGAACATGGAGATGGTGCTGAGCCACACCAAGCCCGGCGGCACGGCACTGAGGTTCCTCGAAGCCCACGAATCCATCCAGCGCTGCTGGGGCTGGTTCGCTGGGTGTCTCTGTGTTATTTTTGTTTTTTTTCTTTTTGGGGTTCGGTGAGGGGAGAGCCTGGTGTCCACCAAAGGGGAAACCAAGTCTAAGTTCAGGATTACCAAGGCTATTTTAGCACTGCCAACACTTGATCTCAGATTCGCTGTGCTGTCAATACTGGATTAGGCACTGGGAATTTTAGAGTAAGGCTTGAAGCTCGGCAGTGCTCAATATAGAATTGACAGAGGGGCGGACATACGCTCAGAAACCGTTTTGGACATGTGTTTTTTGCCAGGTACTTTTAGCGTTGAAATTCTGGGACTGGGTTCGAGAGGGGTAGCTCCCGCTTGACGCTTCGAGTTTTTTCGAACAATAGAACCGACGCAAAAGGCATCGACGGCTGGCGGCTTTGAGGGTCCCAGGCCCGTCGTGGCCCGAGCCCCCCCCCCCCACATTTCAGGCTCGAGCCGATCGATTCTCGGGCACTATATATATATATACACAATCCTGAATTTTAGCATTGGGAACCTAAGATGTGTTGACAATACTAAATCAAGTATTTGGTCACGAAAACCTAAGATCAACTATTGGCAATACTATATTGTTAAGGGTGTTCAGGAATTTGTTCCCGCAACTGCAATGGGTAATTAGCATGTTTGACTGCAAAGCCCCGAACAAGGTCATATTGTTTTAATCAATCCAACGTCCTGTTGAATGCTCTAATCAGCCGCTAGTATCGGCTTAATAAGGGTTGTTTTTGACCCCGAATAAGGCCCCAGTCACGCAATAATGATGCAATATTAAGGCATTGCGGCCTTTCAGGCCTTATTCGGGAACTAAGTTGTTTTTCTTTTTTTTTTTTGGGGGGGGGGGCGGGGGGAGGTGGCAATCTATAAAAGAATATGTTGGGTGATTTTCATCTAAGGGTTTGTTGCGCCACAAAAAGGGGATACCTGGACCCTCAAACAACCAAGATTGTGGTGGGTGATTTCCATTTAAGGGTAGATTCAGGGTCCAGGTACACCGAACATCGTCTTTTCTGCCTCTGCGCCTTTTCTTTGAGGAAACTTGAGGCCCGAATTCCGCAGGCGAACTATGTCCGTGTCGCCGAGGCGCATGAAGAGCCCGCCGAAGAGCATCTGAGGCATGATGTTCAGCAGCACCACCAGCCTAACAGTCCATTTCGTGCGAGATTTCGCAACCATCCACAGTAAATAGGAATGTTCAAACAGGGGTCAGCATTACTATGGGAAATACCCTTTAAACACTAAGAGCAAAATGGCTAGCTACACCTACCATAGTGGCGAAACGCGTGGGATTCACTGCAAACTCGTTCAGGTAACCCTTGGTTGGTGTGGATTGGTGGTTTGGGGATTTGAGCCTACATGGGAAACCCCTCGGGAACATCCAAGAAGTACCTGGAGTCTCCATGACCCTTTAACACTGGGGTCATGGAGACTCCAGGTACATGAGGTAAGCCTGGGGCTTTTTCCTTTCAGAAGTGACAGGATCCACGTCTTTTTGGCCATGCGGCATGCTGAGCGCCGGAACCGGCGCGAGGTAGCCTCCCAGGTACCCCACGCCCGTGGCGATATTCCTCGCGAACTCCGAGCCAAAGAAAGCGGTCACCCGGTGAGCAGGGGAAATGAAGGTACCTGCACCCTCAAACTACCCTAAAAAAGCGTGAATTCACCAAGTTCGAATTTTGGTACTACCCAAAAAAGGGCTGAACTTCGCCAATTTCATCATGACTGTTCTTGGCGATCGCCATCTTCAAGTTGGAAGTTTGGTTGGGTCCAGGTAACGATCTGGACGCCAACCAAACTTATGGGCTTCTTTCCGGGTAGTTGGCTCCGGGAAGAAGCCAAAAGAGCCAAACGACTCAAACGACTCAATCGACTCAATCGGAAGCCTGAGGAATTGGCAGGTAGCTTGCAGGTACGCCTGACGCCTATGGCTTGCGAAGTTCCGGCGGGCGGAAACAGGCGAGAGGTTGGAAACCCATCTGATCGGTCCACGTGGGTGTGTCATTTCTGGTTTGAACCCCCTTTTGGTTGGTTGCAAAGGGAAACCAAAAGGGCAGCACCCAGTTTGAAGGGGGGACCCCCTCCAAATAAACACACCCAATTCCAAAACATCTACTTCCTGAGTGAACTGCTCAGCAAAAGTGGAAGCCCGAATGGATGCGAGCATGCCCCAAAGATGAGAGTGGTCCTTTTGGTTTCCCTTTGCCACCAAAAACGGGGGCACCAACTCCGAAAAAGGGGCAGGACCCAAATTTGGGAGGGTATGTGTTCCTCATTAAGGCTGGGCTGCCTCGGCTCCCCTGCTATTTTAACTTTTGGTGAGCTAAATTCGGAAGCTAGCGTTGACCCGGATGGCCACCAAAAACACGATGCGATCCAAATGGAGATGGACCTAGAGTCTCCATGACCCTTAAAAATGGGTAGGTGTCCTTTTCGGAAAATAGATGGCCCTGGTAGATGATTGAACCACTAGGTATACCAGGGCCTTTTATGGGATGGACTCCATTTAACCGAGCCGCGTCATGAGGTACAGCACCAGGAAGAAGTAGAGGAAGTGCTCCCAGTCCCCCCGAAAGTCCACCATCCAGTAGAGCAGCAGACCCCAAATCCCCGCCACCAATAGGTCAAAGGGCAGGTCCGCCAGCACCTCGCTAAGTCGCCCCCTTTTTTTAATATGTCCAGTAGTGATAGATTCCCTTTAAAACCAACAGGGGAAAAAAACAAACATATTCTTAAGCAAACGGAAGCTTGACAAGCGCGCGGCAATTTGGGGGTGCATATGTTTCGTTCCCCCTTGTTTTTGTGGCTTTGAAGCGAAAACAACGGAAAACCATCATAACTTCTGTGGCTTTGGGGCATCACCTCACAAACACACACCCATTTGGTCAGATCTCTCTTTTTTTCAACACTCATGGAATGTTGGAAGGGAGGTTAGGATACCCAACAGGAAAGTAGTCTTCCCACACGTCCTGTCATGTTGCGCGATGGTTGGAGGAAGGGCAAATGGGGTGAGGAGCCTACTAAGCATTTGGGACGGTTGCAACCCCTGGTCAAAACCCAAGGAGTCTTTCTGAACTTTCAACAAGTTGGGGGGGTACCTTCATAGGCTGCTAGTGGAAAACGTTACCCTAAAACGCCCTAAGAGAAGCTCAGTGTACCATACTCGGCGGACCACCCACATGGGAGTTTGACCAGCGCTACTGCTGTCAAATTGCAACCCACCATCTAAGTTGCTTGTTGGATCAAAATAAATGGGATGCCCTGAGAAATGGATGGCATACAACCCATCTAAACCAGTGGAAGCCATTGATTACGAACCAAATTAACCAAAAAAAAGAAATCTGTGCCGGGCTTTTTGGGAGAATTCCTCAGGTCGTCATGGTGCACTTGGTTGAAAAGAGTCGATGTTCACTCATGGCCGCCCATAGAGGCTGGTTTCCCAGGCCAACCGTGATTGAGCTAAAAAAAAAGGTCCATACCAGGGGTTCATGAGCCCAAAGCTTGGGTGACCTGTACGGTTTCTTAAACAACATGTTCCTAACCATCGATGCGATTCGAATAAAACAAATCTGAGTGGGACGTAAATCTGCTGAATTTCTGAGATGTGAGTTTATTCGGCCAAAACAAGAAGGTTGACACCCAACATCTCTAAGTGGCCCAGAAAAACACGTTTTCCTGGCTTTCTGGCGTTCCTCTCAAAACAAACAAACCTGGACCCTCAAACTACCTTTGAAAAAGGCAAAACGGTTGGCAATGCACCCCCTATCTTTACAGGGTTGTTTTGAGGGCCAGGTAGGTGGATCACATCTAAGTTGGGCTTCAACATATGGCTGTGGCTCAGAAAACCGGTACCAAAATGGAACCCTGGCAAGTGGAAACATGGACCAAAACCTGCGTAGCCCCTCCTGGTTAATTTTGAGCCACATACATATGTACCCGGGTTTTTCATTTTGGTCCTGGGCCGTCTGCATTCAAAAGATCACCAAAGGGTACGGATTTAGAAGCATGTGGATATGTCTCGCGGCTACCCTTGGGCTTGTTTCTTCGTTGGACACCCCTTGAATCAACAACCCATGACCCAGACTCGAGCATCATGGGTATGTCTCAGCGGGCCCCCAAAATGGCTTCGGTTTTCCTCTTGGTTCTCTGACAAAAACCAAGCTAAAGGGAAACCCCCAAGCCTCAACAAAAAAAGCACTGGATCATCAAACAAGCCTTGAACATAAGGTATTGCCAACCAAAACTATAATGCAATGTCCCTTTTTGGGTAGTTTGAGAGTCCAGGAAGGCGTGTAAAACCAACCTGCAAAGGGGTTCCGGAGCCTTAAAACAGGGCAGGACAGACCAACACAACCAAAGGCGACACGTGAATCGCGGTGCCTCGCATAGGATCGCATAGGTGTCCTTTTTGGGAAAATAGATGGCCCTGGTAGTTGGTTGAATCACCAGGTAAACCAGGCAGGGCCCAAATCAACCAAAAAGGACACTTACTGTGGATGGATGAAATCCTGCAGCACTTTGAAACCATGTGAAGCCATTTGTTTGTTGGTATTTACAGAGGGAACATCATCCCAGGGCTTCTGAACGGTGGTGCCTAAGAGGATTGCGTCCATCCGTATGCTGACGGTGTGGGCCTTGCTGACGTAGATGGCCGGCACGGAGTAGGCACCGTTCCGGTGCTCCCGGATCAAAGTGGGGAGACGCGTGGGGATGCCCATGGACGCTGCCATGCAGATGTTCATGACTCCTCCGGTGCAACCCAGGGCGACTCGGACTAGGTCCAGCAGAGAGGTTGGAGTGAGGCTACCCGTTTTTTTTTCTCTGTAGTCGATTTTAGGGGAAGCCTCCCCAAAAAAGGGTCAAAGGGCACTACTGGGGGACCTAGAAGAGCTGGGTGAAGAGAGGTCTACCAAACTCCCATCTATCAAAGGTTCCTTTTCTTTAGGCAATTTATAAGGGGGGGAAGTAACGTCCAACTCAGCCTTTCGGCTTTTGCAAACAAGCAACAGGCAATCATCAGCTTAATGAGCGCCGAGTCTTCGCCTGTGGGAGAATGTAACAAATTGGCCCAAATCGCAGTTGCCCCTACAGGGGTTCACTAATCCGGGGTCAACATGAACAAGGTTCTGACCGCTACAAATAAACGTTCCAACCCATTGGACCAATCCCCGTCCCATTTGTAACTTCATTTACTCAGTTGTTCAGTGACCCTGGGAAAAAAAGGGAACCTTTTTTGGGGAAGATAATTTTTCGTGGGGCCGCCACCAAAAAAAAGGAAGGAAAAAAGGTGCGACAGAACATGTAATCTCATTTATCGAGCGCTTTTTTCAGCATCCAAGTCAGTCGCTCACGAGAAAAAATCGGCTCGACGGGGAAAAAAAAGAATGACCCAGTCCAAACATCATGGCGAAGAAGAGGCAGCCGTTCAGCGTAAAGAGCGTGGTCTGCGTCTTTTCCACCTGAAAACTGGAGACTCCAAAGGAAGAAATGTATGCACCCAGAAAACAAACCCTTGGAATGAACCCCTAGGTTCCTGGGTCATTAACAATTATGGCTTCAATATGGGAATCCAGACTGAAAGGGAACAAAAAAGGCCATGGCTTATGGGGCATCAATTGGCCTTTGACCATTTGCTCCCATGGACATGCCAAAACGTGTCCACTTCAAGCAGCCCCGACGTGGCGATCTGGAGGGGCTGGTCGAACAACGAACAAATGTGAAACGCCCACAGGGCCAGACTTAGACCTTTGCTGGTCGAAGGAATAAATCAAGGAATACCGAAAGGGTAAAAGGTTGAAAAGGTTAGTTAAGTCTGGCAATGTGGGTTAGGACACTTTCGTGGGCCTTGGACAGTTCTAGTTTCAGGGCCTTTAGAGACGGAAAAGGTACTTAGTAGGTTATGACTATAGTCAACCAACCCCGCAACATAGGTGATGCCATGGTAAGTTTGTCATAAAGCCTATCAAAACCAGTGGAACCCATCTATGTGTGACAAAAACTAAACTAAAAAGCACACCTATGCCCCTCAAACACCAGCGTCCAAATGGTTTATGAGTTTTAGGACACCCTTCTTCCTCCTTGAGTTCAGTTTGTTGGTTTAGAACCCAAAACTCGGCTCTGGCAAGAGATGCATATGGGTCTCTCTCAAAATTGGGGGAAGCCCTTTTTGGGGTGGATCCCGATTGTTTAAACCACCCCCAAAAAGAGTCATGGTCCAATCTCCTTCAAAAAAAGGCTCATGGTCATGGGTTCCACTAATGGTTAAGGGTTGTAGCACAGGACGTTTCACCCTTCGCCTACTTCTTGTATCGCCTGAGCTTTCTTCTGACGCATGTTTTCGGATTCTTACCAGGTCCCTGCCAAGGGAACCACCCGATAGAAATATATATATATATTAAAAAAAAAAAACAGAACAAAAGGGATATAGCTGGAGTCTCCATGACCCTTTAAAAATGGGTCCATGACCCCATGATTTTGGCGAATGACCACCCATTTTTAAAGGGTCAGAAGGAGACTCCAGGTAGCTGATTTCCTGCGCCTGGGATCCACTGGGCCCAAGGAACCTGTCTTACCATGGGAAGCTGAGGCCACTGGTGAGCTCGATCCATTCTCTGGTATCGTCACCCAAATAGACAAAGATAGACATGTTGAGCGAACCTCATATATATATATATATATTACATATCCAAGTATGTACATATATATATATATATGTAAGTACAAATGCATGTCAAAAGAGGGGATCCCCAGAAATGTCCTGTCCTAGGACAGGATGTGTTGGGTACAACCCACCCGGCAGGTGTCTGCAACAGCGCCCGTTTAAACAAAAAAAAATGTTAGTTCTACGGGTATGTCGAAATAGGGAACCCCCCGGACCTAAACAAAATGGCGCTGCTCCTTTTGGTTTCCATCCACCCCCAAAAAAAGCTACCCTCAAAAAACACATAAAACACACACGACGGACAGACAGACAGACAGACAGACAGACAGACAGACAGACAAACAGACAGACAGACAGGCAGGCAGGCAGGCAGACAGACAGACAGTCAGACAGACAGACAGTCACAGACAGACAGACAGACAGACAGACAGACAGACAGACAGACAGACAGAGACAGACAGACAGACAGACAGGCAGGCAGGCAGGCAGGCAGGCAAGCAAGCAGGCAGGCACGCAGGCAGGCAGGCAGGCAGAGACAGACAGACAGACAGGCACACACACAGTTGTTTTCTGTTTGGCCTTCCCCTTTTTGCAGGCCTGCAGGCCCCCCCCCCCCTTCTCCCCCTAAAAAAACCGCCCTGGGGTGTTTTTCATGTCCCTTTCCTGCAGGAAGGTGAGGCCGAAGAGAAGGCCCAGCACCACGGTGCGCAGCAACGCCGACCTCAGCTCCGCCTTCGCGCGGACCTTCATAATCACCTGCACCCGCCCGCATCCGACGCATCCGACGGCTCGCTCGTGGAAAGAGGCGTTCAGCATGCGGGTATCCGGCCCATATTTTGGTTTGTTTGGGGGGGGGTTGTTGTTTTGGGGCCGAGTTGTTGAAGAACCCGGGAATCCTATGGTTGTCAAGGGCCCCAATCCCAATGGGGGCTCGGGCTAAAATGGCTCCTTTTGAGGAACCATTTTCAAGGAATCCCTTTTTGAGAGGCACCTGACGATCCACCGTTTCCATTTTTTTCTTTGTTGTAGGGGGGATTGAGTTGTTGAAGAACCAAGGTCACCAAAAAAAACATGTGTTGAAGGTGTCCCATTTGTGAGTAAATTCGGATCACTTTTGGGAACAATACCTTCCTGTGAATTATGATGTTCAGACAAACCAGCCTCAAGGCACTTTTCAGCACCGCAGCCAAACCCCATTCATCTGTTCCAACCACAACTACCCAAACCACCCCGAACACACTCCATCTGGGAAACTGCCCAACAAACAGAGTTGCGCAATCCATCTGTGTGTTTGTTATGGGTTCGCTGTTCAGGTTGTTAAAAGACATGACATCAAAAGGAAAACCCACATTTTGAGAGGTCCCCCCTATTTTGACACCTGACCCCGGTCGTGTGAGGTTGTTATAATTCACCCAGACCCCATTTACATCGGATTCCTATTGATGGTCACTGAATCGGTTTTTTCAGAGACACCCAGGCCCCGAGGGCCGGCCCCGGGCCCCCCGGGCCCCGGGGCCCCGCCTCCCGCTTGGTGAGATACAACAGCGACACGAACCAGTTGGTGTGCTTCTCCTCCACCGGCATCTCCGACACTGCCTTAGGGATGACCTGGATGGGCGCCCCGTGAATCCTCGCGTCCTGGCGAAGAAGACAATGCGGCCAGTGGATCTTCAAACTTGGTACGGAAAAAACCACTTGGAGGTTCCAACCGAACATCCCCTCCCACCAATTCACATGGAACAGAACATCCTCGTCAAGTCCAAATCCCTAAGCCACCAATCCAAACCACCAACTGGGGGTTTGGACGTTCAAACTACTTGGTATATTAAGCCAAAGCGGTAGTTCTACGTCAGTCAACCCCAGTTGTGCCACTCTATATCCCAGGGTTGTAACCTGCTTACATCCAACTGGGCTTCCATGGGTGCTTCATTTATGCTCACCCTGGATGGCCTTAAAGGACAACCACAAGGAAACCAACCAGCAACGTCCTTTGTGAGGTCGATCGCTTCACTTTGACCTCCAGTGTGCTCTCCCTGAACGAAAGAAAAATGAAGCCGAACAAGCGAGGCCAGAGTATGTAAATGGGGATGTGCCAACATAGGGGGACTCCACAAATGCTGTTTTGCTTGTGGTTTCCCTTAAAGACTTCACGCAAACGGGTACTTTGAAAAAAACATGACCAACTATAAGCGCATTTGGCCACAAAGTCATCAAGTCTTCCCAGCCATTCCGATCGCTTCCCCTGACTCCTTGTTTCTGGTGAGTTGCTTGAATGTTTGACTATAGTAGGCAACAAAGGGAAACCATCATGCAAAGCCTAATTGGTCCCTCCTCTTGTGCCTGGAAGCGCTGGGCTACAGTCGCCTCCACTTGCGGGTACGTCCCCTGGAAATAAATTGTCATACTGTGGATGGACGCAATCCATGTCGCACCACCTAAGAAGCCATGGAATGATGATTCCCCTGTAAATACCAGCAAGCAATGGTGTGACATGGTTTCAGAGTGGTGCAGGATTGTGTCCATCCACAGTATTACCAGTAGTGACCACTAGTGGTAGGTTTCGAAGGACTCCAACCCCGCCGCTCCCAACCTACTTGCTAAGTGCGTGTGTGTGTGTTTTCTGAAGGGAAGCCAAGAAAAACCGATTGCAACAACACCAAGTAGATTGAATGTTCGCGCAGGAATCCGATACCGACGTTTAACTTGGACTGCTGAGTCCTCCCATGAACAGCACGCGAGCCAATTTCAATCACATGTGATCCGACGAACCTCCGCCACAAAGTCTGAGCTGTCACGCACATTATAATTACCTTCTGTGTCGTGAGCCTTGATTCGAAATCGCGCGCACAGGCGCGCCAAGGCTTGCCGCGGTGGCTGGCTCCCGAAGACCGTGCGCCAACTCTGCGCACGAGAAGCGTAGGCCTGTCCAAGAAAGAACTGGAGGTCCTTCTTCTCATGATCCAAAGCGCTGCATGCGTCCAAGTCGAAATAATGTCTGTTTGCAACGGCCTCTCGTAAGAAGGGCCACAGGTCCTACAGGGCGCCACATGCTGAACCAAGTCAAGGTCTCTATGACCCGACAACTTACCCAACACAGGCGCGCTCTTGGAAGGTGTGGTCCACCGGACACGGAGCATGGGGCGACTCTGGCAAGCTGAGTCGGTCATGAGATTCTTGTGATCAGCTTAGTCTTCCAAGAGCCAGCACTCTGGCAAGCTGCATCTGGTTCGCCAACTTGTCGAGGTCTGGGCGGATGTGGGGCCAAGATTCAGCCGTCCACGCCGCACCAGCCATAGACAACAGCAGTGGACGGGCGAGCGCCTTGCAAGCGACTAGGCTTTCGCGCAACTCCTTGAACATGTTATCACAAACCATTGCATTGCAAACGTAGGCAGCCTTGTGAATCGCTGCCTCTCACGCGAAGCTTGCTAGTAGACTCTTGTTCGGGGTGTTGATCGGCGACCTGGCCTCTGATGCGAGCAGCTATTTCATAGTTGCCGTCCCCCTTGACAGCGCTGCCAGAGTACACGTGGGCCGACCTTTGAATCTCCTGGACGAGCCCGGCATGTACGCCATGAGAGCCCAGCTGCTGCTGAGCTGTGGCAAGACGCAGCGAATGGACGCGCACAAGTCAAGCAGGTAGCGTTTGACTGCGGCAGTGGCACCTCGGCAAACTTCTGCACCACCTGGACTAGAAAGCGGCCAGAGAAGCACAGCACTCGCTGCTTAGGAACATGGCCCATTCCCACGTATTATCCTAGTATTCACCTTTAATATTGCCCTAGTATTCCCTGAGTATGTACCTAGTATTGCCCAAGTATTCCCCAGTATTGCCCCAGCATTCCTGTAGTCTTCTCTTGGTGCCCCTAGTGTTTCCTTCGGCCCACTGCCACTTGGAGCCGCTTCAAGTCTTGACGCCACTTGGCACCACTTGGCGCCACTTGAAGTGGAGCCTTGCCGCCACTCCAAGTGGCACGCGCCACTTGGCGCCACTTCAGGCCACTTCAAGCCACTTCAAGTGGACTCGAGGGGCCTCACGTCTGGCGACTCCGATGCTTATTCAGGCTTTATAGGGGCTTATTTGGGCTCCCTCCCCCTCCCCTCCCTCCCCCCCAGCTCCCATGATTCTAGGGCTGCTTGAATTTTCTTGACATAAATCCCTACCTAAATGATGACCTACCCCATTTTTTGCCATTGGCTTTTGACCCATGGCCATTGGTCGTCTCCTCGTTGGGCCATTGCTTGTCCCAGGCATCGCTGATCTCCACGCGGCGCTTCGCCGCGCCCTCGGGGTCCCGCGGGTTGATGCACAGCTTCATGACCTTGCGCGGGTTTTGGTTTGTGTGTTGGCTGGGTTCTCCTGTAGAACGTGGATGGAACCATTCCCTCAAGGGGATGACTAAACCACGACTAGGTCCGAGCTTAGAATAAGAGTACCAACTTTTTTTCTGTAGTACCCTCCCCCAAAAATGGGCAAAAGGGCACTACTGGGGGACCTAGTTGGGCTGAAAAGGGCGGTGAAGGGGAGGGGGGCGGGGGTTATTTGTTGGGGGAGAGGGTTATGTAGGGCCAGTATTGCCCATGGTTTTGGGCTGGATTCTCCTGAAGCTACCCTTAAACATGGAAAACAATGGGGGAAACCCGGCTGTGAAATGTCAAGTTCCTGGCCCCTCAAACAACGCCTGAATAAAGGTTGAATTCACCAACCATAAATATGGTTGGCAGTAACTATGTTGTTTATGGGTAGTTTGAGGGTCCAGGTACCCTTAAACATGGATACAATGGAGGGGGGGCATATTGGGGGGAGGGGGGTGTTGCCCTCTGCCAGTGGTAGAAATGGAGTAAAATATGTGATAAAAGGGCTAGCGGTCATTTTAGGGAGAGAATTGCCTACAACCACTTCTCTGGCGTTAAACAAACCGCTGGCTCCAACACCTTCATGACCTCACGCGCGGTTGACGGGCGTGATTCGATTCGTCGCACGACCGACACGGACCGGGCCGAGGGTGCTTTTGAGAACCCGAGAAAGAAAGAACCAGTGCTGTTGCAAGCTCAAGCCAAAGGATCCTTCTTCCAGGATTACAGTTTCAGACGTCCCCCTTCATTTTCGGACGCCCTAAGGGGGTGGGGGTGATTCACCAGCATTGCTTACTGCGGGGTATTTCCTCTCAAATCTGTAGGTCGGGGTGAGCACTGGGGATGCTTGTACGTGTGCAGTGGCTTGACTTGGGGATCGACCATCTTAGCAACCAGGTGATTGTGAGCGCCCATGAAACATCATGCCCAGAAGCAGCATAAGATATGATTCTGGAGTACGGAGTTGGGCGAGGTTCCCGCCAGTTTGCCGCAAGACTTGCGTTTGGGAAGTTCGGCAAGACGGATATCCGCACCATTCTTTTCCTGGCTACTGGCTACTCACCTTCATGGGAATTAAATTCTAACGATCCCCCCATCGGGGGACCCGGCAACACTCAGTCTGTTGGAACCCATTCAACCAGACCAAGAATCGGTCCAATGGGAAGCCAAGGGCTTTGGCACACCAATGGACTTGTTACTGTCGAGCTCACTAAGCAGGGATCCGGATGCATTCTACGCCTGAACATTGCAACTTGTTTTCTGGTGGTGTCCAACTCTATTTTGGTGTTGAAAAAGCAACATGTTTCAAATGGTTGCAAAATGGAGATCTTTTAAGGAGCCCTGCTAAGCTTGAGATCCGCTTGGGTTGCGCGGAACTGGGCTTTGTTATTGTTTTTCCCTGGCAGGCATCCTTCTTTTACCACGGATGAAGCCCAAATGAATAATTAATCACCGAAATCCAACTGGCGCGGCTTTGTTGATTTCTCCCCCATTCACAGGGAAACTCATGTTTTACCTTCTTCCTGGCATGCAAAGAGGGCTCCCGGAGGACTTCTTTAGGGATCCTCTTGGAGGGAGTGTTTTGCTAGGGGTTGATTCCATCCATTCTTTTCAACCATCGTTCTTTTCAACAACCGATCGCTGTTTCCCTGGGTTTTTGATGGTTTCCTGAAAGAAGGATCCCTGGAAAGAATGGGGAAGGTACCCCTAGAGTTTTACATGTCCATCGTTTCTGGAAAAATCATGGCACGGATTGAAGCCAGTGCCATCCTGTCTCAACTCAGTTGCCCGGCTTGGACCCAGAAAAAAACGGTGATCACCTTTAGGGGCCACGAAAATGGATGCCCCAAATATTGCAAGTCGGGAATGCCGGGGAAAACCTGGTAAATTGCCACTCTACTTTTTATATGTTTTTCGGGCATCCACATGTTCCTCGCTCCAATTCGGCCGCGCTGCAAAGTCCGCTGGCATGGTGTGGTCCGGCATCTGAAATCCGATCTTCGCAAAGTGCTCCTGCGGGCCGGGCTGACAGAGGCGAAGTGACGCGATGTGTCTCAAAATGGAAGCCTCAAGGAGACAAGCAAACCAAATGGTGGGTCAAAAATAGGGTAACCCCAAATAAAAGCCAGGTAAATGAAAACAATGACTAAAACCTGCAGACCCCTGGTGGCTCTATTTTGACCTATACCCAAATTTCTTTAGGTTCACCTATTTCTCAAGCAAACCAAATTTCTTTAGGTTCACCTTCTTTGAGCGTCTAATGGGAAACAGTCACAAGCAAACCAAACTTCTTTCGCAGGGATCCTTACATTATACACCTGAACATTGCCTTGCAAATGGTGGTTTCCCCTTATGTTGGTGGAAAAAGCCAAGCTTCAAATGGGCAAAATGTATCTTTTAAGGAGCCCTGTTTCGGATCCCCTGTGAAACACCATCTATGAACCCACCACGAATGAGGATGCCAGACCTCACTCAGCCTTTCATCCGCTTGCTTTCAAAGAGGAACTGGCCGAGATGGAGGAATCTCTGCGGATTCCAACCAAAATGGGGTTTTGACGAACAAATCTCCCTGTTTCGTCAAGTGTGAGTTCACCTGGCTGGCTCAGACACTCCAACACCCTTTTTGCTCTACGTGCCTGGAAAGCGTCTGAGTCCTGAGTTATCTACTGTAGGACAACGATGGGAAAATCCTACCGAATTTCCTACACAAACATGAAAACTACACTCAAGGCCCTCACACCCACTTCGCTCATCTCCGGGCTATCTAAGTAGACCAGTAGGTTGTTTGTCTTTCGGAGCTCCGATTTTTCTTAAAAGGCATTATATATATATAGTTATGTATTTATATATGCATACATATATGTATATGCATATATATATATATGTATATATATATATGCGTATATGTATATATTGTCTAAAGTGTCCAATGTGCGCTCATCCAACACTGACTGAGCCAAACACCTGGAAAAACAACGTTTCACTTCGCGCTGTCTCGAGTATAGGCTTGACCAAAATATGCTCCGACACCCGATGTACGGGATCCCGTAAGCTCATCTTCTGGCAGAAAGTTGGCTTTGGCCCGGCCAGGAAAGCAAACTCACTTGTTGAAGGAACCAAATAAGAGGTTACCTTTGGGCTGTTCAACCTGGTTGCCCAAACAGGAAAACCGAATGGCGATTTCAGCTGGGTCTTGGACAACTGAGTCATAATCAAAGCCGTTGATTTATTTTTATTTTTTTTTGAAGTGAACCCAAAGCCATGTAAAGATATACCAAGGAAGCGGCACCCATTTATCGTTAGGATTGTCCCCTACCAACCTTCATCTACCCGGGTTTGATTGTGGCTCAGAGAACAAACTCCACTCCTCCAACTTGGACAACTGCCCAAAGTACGCAGTGCGCCCGTCAATGAGGAAGTGCAAGCGGTCGAAGAGACGGAACACCTGACGGGTGATGCAAGTTTCCAGTGAGAGATTCCCTTTAAACAAACTACAAGAACTGGGGGTTCAAATCCCACCACAAATACCAAGAGGAACCTCCAAGCTTACAAAACAAAGCAAAAACAACTGGCTCCAGTTGTCCCTACGGTGGGGACGAGGGGTGTCCTGAGGCTTTGTAAGGACGCTTGGGGAACCCTGAGCCCCATAAATGGGCTCTCAACTGGGTCCTCCAGATTTGAGAGGCTAGAATAAGTTGGTACCCACTTTCTTCTTCTTTGGTCTATTTTAGTAGGGGGAATTTCCCCTCCCAACCCAAAAAGGACGGCAAAAGTTGGCACCCAGCCGAAAAACCGAGTCGATGCCAACTAGCCGCCTGCGAGGAGGGCTGATGGACGGAGGCGATCACCGTGACCTTCTGGCCGTTGTTGCCCGCCAGAGCGATGGCCTGTGGCGGTGTGGCCCGGGCCGGCGGGAAGAAAAACCTGTCGAACCCATGGGGGGGTGGGAAGGGGTGGGGGGTGGGAAGGGGAAAGGGGATAGGGCATGCCTTTCGGGCCGAAGTAGCTGTGGAATCCCCCCACATGATGACCTTGGCATATGGAGGGAGAACCGCCCCAAAATGGCAACAGTACGTGAAGGGGTCTGTGCGCGTGCGCACGCAAAAGCAGCTCTCACCTTCGGTCAGACTACTTCACCAGCTGAAGGGATCCTCTTGGCCACCAAAGGGTTTTGGCGTCCAGAGGCAGTGAGACGCCTTGGGCGCAAGGAATTAAGAGGGCCGATGCGGCTTTGGCGGGTTGCAAGGGAGGGGAGGCGTTGTTGGCCTTTCGACCCTAGCTGGAAATCCATAAGATAGCATGTCTGAATGAGCTCTCCATTAAAAAAGGAACGATTGTTGATTTGTCTGCTTTGGTCTGGTTTGGGGTAGGACCGGCAGTTTTCCTGGTAGCTCCTTAGCTCCATCTTCAAAAGCAAATTTGGATCCCCCAGCTCAACGGCTCCCTTCTGACCACCAGCTAGTATGAGTCTGAATGGGGGGTTTCTCAAGATTAAGTTTTAAAGGGAAACCAAGAGGAAACCACCTCCCTGGATGGGGTCCCGAGAAACACCCTGAAGTCCACCTCTGGAAATCATTTTTTCACAGAACAACCCTAAACCAAGTCGAACCGCAAAGGTCCGGAGGCTGTCGTAGGCCAGGGGTCTGCGATGTTCAGATCAACCACAAACCATTGGCTACTTGACCCAGTTCCAACCGAACATTATCAACATCCGACCTGCCCACTTCACTTTGGGCCATTGCACATAAAACAACCACTGATTGGAAGTGCATCAAATTTGTGCTAAGCAACGTCACAAGAAAAAACGTGTGCCGAACCCTAGGACAACCCAGCCCTCCCCCGCAAAGAAAGAAAAGAGCGACAAAACGTCTATTGTTTGTGTCCTTCTCAAAACCAATTTCATTCGTTCACATCAGTCTGGCTAAAGAGCCCCGGCCCCAACCATTGCAGGTGCACCTGCGCCACTACCTGCAATGGTACTTCTTGCAACCTCACGTGCCTTCATGTACTTCACGATGACCTCCGCCATCACACTATCCTGAGATGGATCCAACCCAGGAAAACCAAAGATAATAAAGAACAGATCCAGGAGAAATCATTTAAGGAAACCAAGGCAAGACTGACAAAAGGTCATAAAAGCAAGGTTTACAATGGTTTACATTTGCGTGTTGGTTTTGCTCTTGTGATGGTACGCTTTCTGCTTAGGTTGGGACACCCCATTGGACAACAACAAAAGGGCCCGGGTAAATGTTACATGGTAGGATCTGGCCGGTCCGAGTATTGTACTTTCAAAGTCACCCTGTTTGTGATAGGCTGGAGTCACCCCACCGACCTTGATATTCCACAAACAAACTTGAAATTGGGGACAGTGTAGGTGACTTGGAGGCTCTTAAACAAAGCTCGATTGGTATTACCCCCTGCCTCACAAGCGTCACTTGCTGCAGGTGAGCGTGAAAAACCACCAATTTCCAAAAAGCTTACAGCTCAAATTATGGCAGCGGAGTCTTTTTGGTCTTCACAAAAACACCCACAAAACGGGGGTGGTTTTGCGGATTTGAACTAGCTGAAGACAGAGTGAACCCTGACCGAGGTGTCCTCTTCTTTTATTTTGTCCGCCAACAAAAAACAACAAGAATGAGGTTCACCCGGGAAAAAGACTCGCCGCCCAAGCCAAGCCAGATCTGGTGAAGGGAAATTGAGGAGGATGAATGGAAACCCCCTTTTCAGCTCCTCCAAACCGAAAAATGACGGAAGCAGAACTACTCCCTGCCCAGTGAAGTCCATGGTGTTTCTTGCTTTTGCATTTTCCAGTGATAATGTGGATGGACGAAATCCGCACGCACCACGAATGAAACCATGGTTGAACCCATACCGCAATGTTTGTTGGGCTTTAAGGGGAAATTGTTTGCGTGAAGGTTTGCCAGTTGCTTCCATTTGGTTTCCAATATGTTCTAGTTTACCCAGTTGGCAAAAAAAGCGAATCTACTGTGGATGCATCGTCTTAAGCAACCAAAACGCAATTTGGACACTTTACAGCACCATTCCCTTTTCCAGTGGTTAAAAAAACAATGTCTTTTCGCAAATGAGTGTGTATCTGTTTGAGGAGACCCCCCCATAAAAAAAAAAAAGAATGTGGTTTTCCTCTTGATTTCCCTTTAAACCCATCCCAAACAGGTGGTACCCTCAAACAAAAATGACACGGCCCAAATCTCCTTGCGATCTCCTTTTGATTGGTTTTACACGGGAAGCCAACACGAAACCCCACCCATTCGGGGGTCCCCGTTTGAGACTCCCCACCAGGCCGTCTTCGGTAGGAATGACCCACAATGTTGGGAATGAACCCAAAATTCCACGTAAATCAAACCGGGCTCCCACTGCCATTCAATACAGCCGATCAGCGCCAGCTATGCAAGACTTGTATATAATGCCCAAGACACACGCTGCATTCCGGGGCACAGGGTTAACAATCCACGAGGGATGTGTTATAAACACCACCTAAGAAACCCTGGAGCGATGATTTATCTGTAAATACCAACAACAATTTGGTTCAACCATCGTTGCTTAGGTGGGGCGAACGAATTTCGTCCATCCACATCAACCAAGCCCTATTGTATGAGTTAAGTTGTTTATGGCCTGGAAAGTGGGAACGCTGTCCACTTGCGAATTTGGTCCGTCCACTTTTGATCTCCCCGGAGCGTCTTTTTCAACGAGTCACCCTTCAGAAACTCTGGTTTCTCAAAATGTCGATCTGTAAAAACCAACAAACCTTGATTTCCCATGGTTCAGGTGTTGCAAAACATGGTCCCTCCGTTTTTTTTGATCGACCCACGTCTTTCTAAACCAAGTCTTCCAGGTCTCGAGCCCCGTGGTGGGCTCATCACAGTAGAGCACCGAGGGCTGCGTCAGGATCTCCGTGGCGAAGCTCACGCGCCGCTTCTCGTTCTTGGAGATGCCGCTGTAGACGTCCCCTGAAGAAAACGGAGAAAAAAAAAGCCGAGCCCATGGGTTATTTTTTTTGGGGCTCGGAGCCACTCTGGGTTTCACCACCTGAAAAAATCGGCTTCGCCGCCCCATACAGCATGGTTTCGTAGAACTGATTTTTTTCTTCTTCGGTTCTCGGAGGGGTTTCAGATAGGCCTTCTCCGAAGTGAGATTATAAGGGAGCTTAGGGAGATGCCGCTGTCCCCTGAAATCGGCCCGCCCGGTTTTTTTCTTTTTTCGGTGCTTGGGTTCGCTTTGGAGCGCGCTTTCTTCCGAGAGAAAATGACAGATTTGGGGAATTATGTGTGCCATGGGTCAATATCCAAATCGTACCCCCAGTGAACATCCCAATCCCTAAAATAGACTAACATGGGTGGTGCACCTACCCCCAAAAAGGTACCATTGGTTTTGACCCACGGCCACGTGTGTGTGTGTGTGTGTCAAGCTACAGACCAACCAAACAGTTTTCAGGTAAGCCGGTAAGCCGGTAAGCCTTCGTTGGTTTGGAGCCATTTGGTTTAAGATTTGAACAGGTCCCTGGTTCTTGTAGGTAAATGGGAAACCCCTCCTTAACCACCACCAAACCACCGGGCTCCACACCACCCATTGGAGGGAAGCTGATCCCCTGAAATCTCAGAGAAAAAAAACAGGAAACCAAGAAAAAACACGTCGGCCGTTGTTTTGGGGTGGAACCACGAGGGTTGGTCAGGGGGGACCAAATATGGAGGCTTTAGGCGGGTTAGGTCCCCTGGAAACCGTTGGGCTTTGGGGTGGGTTTAGGGGAACCCAAAAAACGTTGGCTTGTATTGTTGTTTCTTTTTAGGGGAGATTCATAGTTTTTGTGGGGGAATATCTTGTGTGTGGATTTGTATTTTGGCTGCGGGGGATTTAGGTTTGTTTGCGGAATTGTTTTTTGGGGAAGGGGTGTATTTGTTGGGGGCGTGGATTTACGTTTCTGTGTGGGATTTGTGGAGTTTTGAGGGGATTTGTATTTTTGGCGGGCAGGGGAGGCTTGGATTTTGTATTCGTACTGCTTGGGAGTGGGATGTGCATTTTTTGTTGGCAGCGTGATTTGGGCTTCTTGGTGGGGATTTGTGAATGTTCAATGTTTGTTTTCTGGGAGAATGGATTTGTATGTGTTCTTAATTGTTTGTTGTTGCAGGTCGAATTTAATTTTGCTTCTTCTTTTTTTGTGGGAGCGGTGGTGTTTTTGGAGGGATTTGAGGTTTTTGGGGATGTGTGTGTGTGTGTGCGTGTGTGTGCTTTTTCTGAGGGGGGGTTGGAGGTCTTACGCTTCAAGCGTGGTTTTTCGCAAAGCCTTCGGTTTTGGGATGGAACATATGCTGATTCATGGAGGCTTGTTTTGGAATTGCGTCTTAGGGAGTCAGGGCTTTCTGGTTTATGTCTTTTGGATTGGCCATAGGTGCTTTTCCCTTGGGGGAATCATTGGGATTTGGGGTTCGGGGTTGGTGGTTATAGGGCGAGGGAACCAGGTGCTTTTTGGAGACTTGGCTTTTTGAGGCGGTTGCGAATGCTTTTTTTATTGCTTTTCTCCGGGGCGTTGGATAAGTTTTCTTCGGGCTGAGTTTTAGGGTCTTGGGGTCGGTTTTGGGTGGAGGTCGCTATAATGAATTGAAATAGATCAACCTGGTTAAGGGGGTTGAACTAGATAAGGAAGAAAAACACTTTAGGTTTCTGGAACCACATAAAGATATGAAGGTTTAACAGGGGTGGTGTTGGGGTGCATAGTTTTTCCAGACTCCAACTTTTGCGCCCGCATCCCATTTTCCCCCCTCCCCCCTTCCAAACCACCCCAAACCACCCCAAACCACCCCCAAACCACCCCAAACCACCCCATCCCCCGCAAAAATCAAAAACCAACAAAAAAACGCACACAAAACCCCACCTCCCATCCCCTCCCTCCCCCCCATAAAACAAAAACAACTCCGATCGCCTATGAGGCTGTGCTGGCACTTCTCGAGCCCCAGCATCTTAATGGAGGCCTCCACCCGCAGCTTCCGCGCCTCTGCCCCCACGCTGCTGGGCATCCGCAACTTGCTCCTAGATCGATCCAATGGCTTCAGCTCGGTGAAAGTTGGCCTTTAAAGCACCATGGACTTTTTGTTCTGAACTTTTGTAACCGTCTTTTTAACACCCAGCACGGGAATTTTGTCTCAGTGGTTCAGTGACCCTGGAAAAAAAGGGAACCCTTCTTGGGGCTTGGACCATTTTTAGTGAGCAGCCACCCAAAAAAAAGGGGAAGCTAATTGGTGCCACTGAAGGACTGAGTCCATGGATTGAAACCCGTGGCCGGGAAGCTTTATTACTGTCGAATTTGGCATAAAAAAAGATGGCGGCGGCTGGAAACTGGCTCAGTCGCCCAATCGGAATGTTCCCCTGTTAGTCTTAAAGGACTGGACATATTCTGTATGTAATGCAGGGGACTTAAGCACATGGACCTGGAAAATAAGAAACGATCACCGTTTAGGACCTTGACGAAAATAGACCAAGCTAGGAAAACCAGAAGCTCAAAAGGTCGGCTTTGGCAACTGAGCTGGATTGATTCCTCGAAATTGCCGGGAAACTCCTGAGGTGTCCAACTTGGCCCATGTTTTTTTTCTCGCTTGCGGCTGAACCCGCACAAAAACACAAAAACATACGTCGACTCCGGTTCCCCGCCGCTTCCAACAAACCTTTTCCTCGGGGGCTTTTCTTAAGCGGAGTGACCATTTTTCGGTGGCACCTCTGGGGATCCCGTGGTTTTTTCTGGCGTGGGAAACCGATTCAAGGTGGGGATGGGGAAACTGGAGCTGGCGAGCCAGCAAGCCTCGGGGCCAAGTCACACGGGTGTGTGGAAAGGTAACATGGGAGGCCCATACCAACCTGGAGTCTCCTTCTGACCCTGTAAAAATGGTTGGTCATTACCCAAAATACAACCTGGAGTCTCCTTCTGACCCTGTATTAATGGTTGGTCATCCAACCTGGAGTCTCCTTCTGACACTGTAAAATGGTTGGTCATTACCCAAAATACAACCTGGAGTCTCCTTCTGACCCTGTATTAATGGTTGGTCATCCAACCTGGAGTCTCCTTCTGACACTGTAAAAATGGTTGGTCATTACCCAAAATACAACCTGGAGTCTCCTTCTGACCCTGTATTAATGGTTGGTCATCCAACCTGGAGTCTCCTTCTGACCCTGTAAAAATGGTTGGTCATTACCCAAAATACAACCTGGAGTCTCCTTCTGACCCTGTATTAATGGTTGGTCATCCAACCTGGAGTCTCCTTCTGACGTTGTAAAAATGGTTTGTCGTTTCCCAAAATAATGGCTGGTCATGGACCCATTGCTATTTGGGGTCAGAAGGAGACTCCATTTTTAGATGCCAAGCGGCTCGAAGCGCGGGGCAGACATACATGAAATGCTGCCAAGTCCAGTCGCGTGTGTTTTGCCATTTTCTTTCTCAGAAACCCTGGGTTTTTCTGAGTGATTCCCCTGAAACTACCAAGAAAAAGGTTTTTGCAAAAAACTGTTGAAGCCATGATTGAAACTCTGAAACTACCAAGAAGCGTGACGATTTCCAATCATGGCTTCAAGGGCGGGGCAGGATTTTGTCTATCCACTGCAGCTCTTCTCGCAGCAGGAGACACCTAGACTCCAAGCTGGGTTCCATCTTGGGACAAAGTAGGTTAAGCCTTTGGATTTGGATGGGTCCAAGAAAAACACCTGATTTATCAAGCACAACCACCCCACCCCAAATCCACACAAAAGGGGTACCGGGAAAATGATATGTTCATAGGGGACCCTCGCTTGACAATGGCCAAGGTTTTTCAAGCAGGATTCTGCCAAAATGGCAATGGGTCCCCTAGTCCCCTATATACTCCCCCACATACTCCCTACATACTCCCCTACAAAATGAGTAGGGAACCCCCGAAACCCACCATGTTTAGAGAAATCTCGGAATTCCTTTTGGGACATGGACCCCGTAAAAGTTAGATTCCATGCTAAAGGGGATTCTAAGCCCATTTCTTAGAGGTACTCTGGATGGACGAAATCCATGCGCGCCACCGTTCAGACAGCCAGGTTTCTCATTCGATTCCCGTAACGTAAATACTATCAAGCAATTCGTTCAAGCTTTTTTCAAAGTGGTGGGAACGGGTTTCGCAAGTATTCTAGGGGTTGATTCCTTGTCCATTCGTGTCAACCATCGTTCTTTTCAAACCGGCTGTTTCCCCTGGGTTTCTGATGGTTTCCTGAAAAGATTCGCTCCCTGGGTTCAGAATGGAAATGGAAGGTACCCCTAGAAGCAAGGGTGGGATCCATTGGGCATTCAGGGTATTCTTCCCGCAGGCGCTAAAGTGAGTCCCAGCTTGGTCCGGGAAACACCGAAAAGGGGGGCTTTCGTCCCAGTAGAACTATCCACAGTTGGGCGCTTCGGCGCTTTAGCTGAGGCTCTGGAAGAGCAGGTGCTCTCGCGGTGTGTAGCACTCCAAGAGCATTTCTTGCTGGTGGACATAGGCCACCTGGCGAACTAAGAACATGAACAGGGATCCTTGCATTATACACCTGAACATTGCCTTGTCAATGGTGGTTTCCCCTTATTTTGGTGGAAAAAGCCATGTTTCAAATGGGCAAAATGTATCTTTTAAGGAGCCCTGATGAACTAATCAAGCAAAATCCCCCAAGAAGCAAAAACAACACGAAGTTGGCGCAATTGGATTTTCATGGAGGACTTGGTGGAAACCATGGTGAACATTCCTGTCCACCACTTTGCAGGTCCCCTTTGAAGAAATGTCATAGTCACATATGGCGTTCTACCTCTTGTCAGGGTTGTAGAACTTGTGGAACAATTGGAATCGGAAAATATTTTCCCCAACAAAAATGCAAGTTGGAGATCAAACCCGACAGCCAGGTAACATGGCCCTACCGTTTACGAACATCCGATCCCGAGTGCCACCTTTGCTCAGCTGCCTTCAGAGAAGTTACCAGAACAAGAACCCAATGGAATCTCAGATGAGGTGGGTATTCCTCGTGCTTTTCCTTTAAAACCAATCAAAAAGGAGGAGGGTAGCCTAAAAAAAAACACAATGTGACCTGTGAGGGTCCGGAGAATTAGAATGGGGTTGTGGCGACGTTAGTAATTATTTGGCCATTACGTACCTGCAATCCTGCTAAAACAAAATAGTTAGGAACTCTCCTAAGCGGGCCCGCCCTCCATACTTTGGAGTCACAGTCAATTCTCATTCTTCCCACAATGGATTTTCAGCTTCCCTCCTGCTTGGTGGTCTGCAGGTGTTCCCGGGGTCCCTTTTATCTACAAGAACCATGGGTTCAAAACCCCCAAACCACCGGTCCCAAACCACCAATTAAGGGTTGCCTGATATTTGGTAGGTGTGCCCCATCTCATGCCCGTAATACCGTGCACACCGGACAAGCACTGGCCCGACCAAAAGGTTTGCAAACATGCGCCACTGTCGGCGAAGCTCCACGTAAGTTTGGCTTTCAACCCAAAGCCTGGATTGTAATGTTGCCCCCAGATTCACCAGCCCCAGTGTATTCATAGGGTGGGTGGACAAAATCCTGCACCATGTTGAAACCATGGGAAACCATTAGTTTGTTGGTATGTACGGGTGAATCATCATTGCAGGGTTTCTTAGGTGGTGCAGGATTTCGTCCATCCACAGTAGGGTGGGGGCCTCTGAAAAAGCGGTCCAGAGGATTGCCCACGAAACAAAACCAGACACCTCCCTACTAGCAAACCGTGGTTGATGAATAGGGCTTCAATGCTACTCGCCTTTTTTTCCGCGACCGCCCAAATACCAAACCGGTTCTCCTTTCGGCTTCCCTTCAAATTAACCCAAAAAGGGATGCCAGCACTCAAAAAACGAGCGAACAACCATCTGACACAATCTATGTAGGTAATGTGTGTGTGTGTATATATATATGTATGTATGTATGTATGTATGTATGTATGTATTTATGTATATACATATGCCCGTATGATTAGATGTATACACGTATAACTATATATATATACATACATATCCACATCTACCCACAACACGTGTCCAAAATGTTGGTGCATATTAACTCGGTTGCTTTCTGCTCCCCTGCTAAAAGTTAACTTTGAGTGGTTTAATACGGAAAACCCATTAGCTGGCAAAAAAAAACATAGTCCTAACATCCCTTGGCAACATGCAGCAAAGAAAGGGTTCAAGCAAACGTCAGCTTCCTCCCAATTGGTAGCTTGGAGGACGTGTTCAGGGGTCGGTCTCCCTCTACCCTCTACCCTCCCACCAACTCACATGGAACCTGACCTTCGAAAAGGCCTGGTTTAGACCATTCTCCAATTTCAAAGCTAACTTCTTCCCTCGGCTTCCCCCCCCCGGCGCATCTCTCGGGTCCCTCCCGACTCCCGACTCCCGCGATATCGACTTCTCTCATTTCGCGCCTTGCGCTTCACCGCCTTCGAGAGCTCCATGGAGTTGAAGGACAAGGCGCCGCTGGAGGGCGCGGTGCGCACCGCCAGGCAGTTCAGCAGGGAGGTCTTCCTCGGGGTCGACTTGACCGTTTCTGCGGCATGGCTGACGTTAAGTGGTTGGATTTCAACCACTAAACCACAATAAGCAAAAGTGTGAAATGTTTCCCAACAACAACCATGCCATGGGGTTGTTAATCCTCAACCAAGGGGTGGCAAATGAAGAACCATTCGAGGGCTTTGGAAAAAGAAACAGAAAACCCATTCGAGTTCTTCTCATGGGTTTGGGTTCAATGTCCTTTAGCTCTGGGATGTTCTAGAGGTTAACCGGATTCTGGCTCTGGCGGAGTTGTTTAGGCAAGATTTGCCATGGGGTTGTGAATTCTGGTGATTTCGCTTTGAGGGTAGTTTGAGGGTCCAGGTCTTCGTTTCTCTAGGGGTTGATTCATTTTCCGTTCTTTAACCAACCATGGTTCTTTTCAAAAACCAGCTGTTTTCCCAGGGATTCTAGGTCCTCCAGATTTGAGCGGGTAGAATAAGTTGGTACCCGTTTGTTTTCTGGTTTGATTATTTTAGTAGGGGACACCCTCTCAACCAAAAAAGGGGTGAGAAAGGGCACTATTGGGGGACCTCGGCTTGTTTTTGCTTCTTTGGAAGAGAAGGTGTGGAAGCCGGACGTTTCGTGGAATGGATGGCTCCACAATCAACCCATCTCGGTTGCTTTCTTCTCCCCTGCCAAAAGTTTAACTTTTGGTGGTTTAAAGGAACACCCATTAGTTGGCAAAAAGTTAAAGTCCTAACATCCATAATGCACCAAAGCCATCCAACGCCATTGCACACCATAAATCCTCAGGTTCTTTACAACCTAAGATGAATTGCTGTGGATTAGAAAGACAATGGTCGAGTTTACAGATGAACGATGTCCTCAGATCCAACCCAAGGTGAAGCGAGCATACATAAGCTTCCAAATGCTACAAAGAGCTGAGAATTTAGGATCAGATATAGGATTGGATCTGTGGTCAACTCTCTGTTCATTGCTTTGTCTTTACTTCAAGAATGCAAAGCAACATATCTGCAATCGAACGCTAGTTATCTATATAGCATCCTGGCAAGCCTCTTCATTCCCCAACCCTATCCGTTGGTAATCATGTCTGTCAAAGAAGCTTGAACGGATTCTCAGATGCCATGGGAACCAGGGCGTCCTGCTTTAGTTTGTAGAGTTTAAGGGGAAACCTTTCCCCAAAAAGAACAAAAAGGCGCCACCGGGCAACTGGGGATGGACAGGTTGCTCTTGAACCTCCCCGATTCACCGGACAGTGAAAAGGTGAAAGAGAGGACGTTCGAAGATGACACCAAATTTAGTTTGGGTGTTTTTTTTGTCGGGGACCTGGTTGTCCTTTTCCTGTCCCTTTAGAACCAACCAGAAGGGGTATGTCAAAAAACGACACGCCCATATGATGGACACTGATGAGAGACGGATCATCTTGGAGAGCTAGCATGAATGACTCAGGAGTCTCTCCACCTTTCTTATTTATGGCTTTCTCTTTTTAGTTTGTTTTACTGCTATCATCTAACTTCAAACAAACTGAAGATACTGTGGATAGATGAGACATCCGTTCGCACCACAAAATGAAGCCATGGTTGAAACCACAACGTTTTGGTATTTACGGAACAACATAGGGTTCCAAAAGGCGGTGCGAAATGGATTCGTGCACACAAGCCAGAAAGCGCGGGCAGGACGGGGTTTCTGCAGGGACTCGGCAAGGTTGTCCAAAGGAACGAATAAGGGGGGTCCAGTCAAAAGGGGTTTCTGCCTCCACAAAACTGGACGCGTGCCCCCATGAAATCAACAGAATTGAGATATTGAGTTTGTGCAAGAAGGTCTTCCTACACCCGAGCCATTTTAGGCGAATTTAGGCATTGTCCAAATTGAATAAATGGATCACTCAATTATTGCGTGTCAGAAAAAAAAGAGAAGTCTCACAGCAGGGGCCCGAGGAGACTTTTTGAGGGCTGGAAGGCTATATCCCCCTTCAGGCGTATGGTCCGAAAGCTTTAGCTTGAGTTACAGCCGGTAGTTTGTCTTTTTGGAGGCTAATAGTTGTTTGGGTGGCTTAAAGGGAAACCAAAAGGAAAACCACTACTTTTTCGGGTACGGGTCCTCCAAACAACACGCACCTAGTTGGCAAGTGCTCTCCTGTAAATAACCAGCCACCCCAACATGGGGGGGGGGCGGGGTTCAGGCAAAAAGGTGTTCCTAGATGCACCACAAAATCTGCAACGTTGAATGTGCCGCCAAACAATGAACATATGGGTTTTTTTCTCCAAACAACTCTGTGTGAATGGTTTTTGTAGAGAAACCACAAATCTATCCACCTGCACCGGTAAAACAAAGAGAAGGTCGCCCAAACCGCGCCAGTTTGATGCTAACGTACCTGGGACCATGGGCTCAGAAGCTGGGTTCACCGCGCTTGGGGTGCTGACGAGGTCTCTTGGACCCGAGGAATCGACCAGCAAAGTCGAATGGGAGGGCCAAAATTTTGCCCGACTTCTTCGGGAGTCTTGAAACACTTGCTGGTGATCAGTAGGGAATGACCCAGGGTGTTGGGAATGAACCGGAAGGGGATTCCCTTGAAAAGAAACCATGGGTGATGGTTTATAGGAGTCATTGTCTCATTGTGGGCGTTTGTTCAATCCAAGTGTTGCGGTTGCAGACACACACACACACACACACACGGCACACAGCTCACAGCACACAGCACACACACACACACGTCAAGACACATCCACAATTCCTCTTTTTTTGCGGATAACCCCCCTTTGGTTTTAAAGGGAGCCATAAACCTACGACTCCACTTCGGAGGAGTGAACCGCCTGCTCTATGCAAAGCCAAATTCGGTTCAGCCTGTGTTTGTTTGGCTGGACGACTACACACCTAAGACTAGCAATGGCAAGTTGATGCCTCATATGAAGATTCTTAGTTTCCTAGCATCTTGGAAGTTGCTCTCATCTCTCCAGATGTATGTCATGTGTTTCTTCTCTCAAAAACAAGCAAACAAACCAAAGCAAAACAAAAAGCAACTTGTATCTCTATGTGTTATGAGTTGTTTCTCCTATATATGTATATATATATATATACATATAAAGGCCACTTGGGACCTCCGGTCCCCCTCCCAGGTAGGTCCATAGGTCCATAGGTTCAGGGCGTCAAGGCGCCCGGCCCCCGAGGGGCCCATGATGGCCAGCAGCTCCCCAGGCAGCGCGAAGCCGCTGACTTTCGAGAGGATCTTCTTGGCTTCCAGCTCCTTGCCCTTCTTGATCCTGCGGCTAGCGGGTTTGTTCACACCCGGCCAAGCCAGATGGAAAAACGGGGGGAAGAAAAAAAAAGCACACGGTAGAAAACAAAAACGAAGATCCTTGCTATGGCTTTGCCATTCCCCTTGTAGAAATTGGGAGGGGTGGGGAGGAAAGGGGCCCTTCTTGATCCGGCTATCGGGCTTGCCAAAAACCTCCAACCCAAAAACAAAAACACAAGGAATGGTTGGGGGTTATCCCGCGGTTCGAAGACCCTGTTCGGTTGATTCAACTTTTAGTGGGGCATAGGTGAGGGTGAGGGTGGGCAATTGATCTTTGAAAAACCTTAACCTTGACCCATGTAGGAACCAGATATGGAAAATAGCTGAATGGAAACAATGTCAAACCGGGCCCAGGATGCTGGATTTCAGAGAAAAGGATTGGCACTCGACTGGACATGGGTGGAGGGGAGGGTTCTGGGTGAGGGTCTCAAAGAGCTTGTTGAATCCATTTTGATCTTGACGTCGCGAAAGACAACAAGAAGCAGGGGGCGTTTGAGTGAAACAAAGCACCCAACATGGGCGTGGCTGCCCCTGGGGAGCGCATACGGAAGGATATGTATTGGACTGTCCGTTTTCAGGTTCGGGCTAAAAGTTGCACTTTTGGGGGGTTAAATGGAACCCCCACCAACAAAAAAGCTAAGAAGCTAAGGGGATGGCTGAGAACCACCAAGTGTAGTATATATAATATTCCCAACCGGTGCCACTTAGAAGAACAGCAGATTAACTGGGTCCAGACGTGGGATGTCCTCATCCTAGTCGGTGATTTGGATTGGTCGTTCAGAGGATGGAGTGTTTGAGCCTATTTCAGTAGTAATTACAGAAGCGACAGAAGTGGGCGTGTCATTTTTTGAGAGTACCCGATTTTGGTGTTAAAGGGAAGCCCAAAGGGAACCCACCAATTTGGGGCTCCGATTCCTAAAAAAGACGCACCCAAGTTTGCTGCTCATATGGGCATGGGTCAAAATTGAACCACCAGGGACCGCAGGTTTTAGTCCATGTTTCCATTTACAGGGATTCCATTTTGGGTACCTATTTTTGACCCACAGCCAAATCACCGAGTCTGTGCCCTGGATCCTAGCTAGGGGTCCTAGGGTTGATGAGGGTTCATGGATTTCTTCTTGGCCCTGGTGCCCTTCTTGGCCAAACAGTTCGCAAAAAAGGTTCGTCGAAACAAGTTTCAGATAGCCCCAACGTCTTCATGGCACGCCAAAACATTGCCCAACCAATGGCAAAAAACAGAAACAGTGGCCGCTTGCCGAACCTTGCCGATTCTTGCCGATTCCTGCCGATTCCTGTCATGGATTCTTGCCCGGAATCTTGTGAATCGCCCTTCTTGCTGCTGGCCAAGAGGAAAACCCGGTCAATTCCTTCATACCCAGACCTGGCATTGAATAGGTTCTGTCATGACTTCTTTTTTTACTCGCGCCCCGGGTGGATGGCCCCAAAAAACGTCCGAACTTGTTGTTTACACCTAAATAGGCGTCCCACAAAGTTTAAAGTTCGAAACGGAACTTAGGAAGCTAGTTTAGTCGAGCGGAATATGCAAGATCTGGCCAACACACAATATCAAAGCGGAAACAGAAGGCCAAATGGACAAGCTCGTAATATTCCCCTTAAACGTCACACTCAAAGCAAACTCGTCCAGGGTGAAGCCACAAGAAACAAATATAACAAAAGAAAGCGGGGAGAGAAAGGGTCAAGAAATCATAGCAACGCGGGACGCAGACCTGTGTCAATTTAGGGACCCCAAATGGTGAACATCAGATTCGGAGGAAATTTGTGCCCACCAATCTCTGAGGTCCCCTTGAAGTCCATAGCCAAACGGGAGACCAGGTGGAAAGCCACCAAAAAAAGAGGTGCGATCTGGGATAGGACGCCACTGGCATTTCGCCTCGCACTTGTTTGTGCTGCATGTGGTTGTGGGAAATGAGCTTTCTGATACCAGAGTGGCCATCTATATGGGACTTGCTTCCATGTTGAAGGGGATTCCCTTGGCATCCCCAAAACAAACAAATTGCCACGAGCACGCGGCCCCATCCTGGCGACCAAGTCCAAGTCATTCCAATCCACACGCACCGTTTTTGAAGCTTCGCTCGATGGGGTTGCCATCGCCGGCAGTCAATACTACCAGCGGGCACAGCGTAGCAGTGAGTAATCAAACGCTGCGGCGCAAGCAACACGATCAGAAGAAGGCCAAACTTGGGTACTTTGGCCGAACCTACTAGCCCCAACCTTGCAACCCCCCTTGTATACAGAACCAAATTGAGGCGCAACAAGCACTTTGGGATCGGAGGGTGGAAGGAAACCTTTTCTCGGGGGCTGACCATTTTGGGCGGGGCACCAAGCAAAAGGGGAGTCTAAGGCTAGATTTCAGTGAGCAACTGGAAAACACTTTGACTTTGAACTAATTGCACCAATGGGGCAACGGGGTGCCACAGAACAAAGGGGGTTTGGACTTGGCTGACTCGCTTCCCCGTGATGCAGCAGGCTTAATTGAAAATTCGGACCTTGCCGCCAAACTGAACAGCCCCCGAGTTCGCCACATACAAAATCACACAGAGATGCCAAGATGTCCTCTTTTGAACACCACCCCACCAAAGGAAACCAATCTTAGCCCAAAAGGTTGCTGATTCATACCGCCTGCTTTTTAGGGCGCATTCGGAAAAAAAAAAACGAATGACGCGTGGCTTCCTGAAAGGTCAGCAAGTCTTCCAGCCGAATCAACGAGCCCTTCCCATGGCCCCGAGCGGTCGCTAGTCAGCCACAATCGGGTTGCAACGGCTCCCTTGCGGCTCCGAATTCGTAGGTTACTCCGAATGGGGGGTTCTATAGGGAAACCACGACCGGGCAAAAGGAGGGCTTGATTTTGAACAATCCAGGGGGACCTAGAACCCGGAAAATGAGCTTCGGTGTTTCTTGTTGGTGTCCCTAAAAACCAACTAAAACGGGTACCCTCAAAAACAGACACACCCATTATATGTGTATATATATATATATACAATTGTTGAGTGCATGGGCCAGAACAAGTCCAGACTACTTATTTACCGATGAAATGATCTTCCCAAAAAGGAGAAGTGTCCAGGAACTCAGGAAGTAAACAATGTGTTTTGACAATATGTATATATATATAACATCATTAACATATAGTATGTTGAGCATATCAGGTGCGTATATGTTTCCTCCATTTTTGCGTATACATATCTTTGCTTGGGGGCATCTTGGGGCCGTTCCGTTGACGAGGATGAGCCAAGCCCAGTCTAGGGCCAGCCCACTGCAGGCCACCCATGTCTGCGGCGCCCTCGATCTCGACACCTCGCTTTCCGCCCTCCTTCAAGACCTGGCGACGCCGGAATCCACCCCACAGGACCTGACTAGGTTGAGACCCAACACACAGCAAAACGCTGGCCTGGGCAGATTCGGGCTTTAGGTTTAGGGACCTTTGGGTTTACTTGTCATAGCCGATTTTGCAGTCCAGAGTCCCACAACACTGGCCCTGCGCAGTCTGTTGCATTTGCAGCCCACCCGTTCCGAGGGGCGTTGGGGCAGATCGCATCCCTGAGAAGCCGTTGGGCTCCGTCTGACCTTCATGTTGACCCCGGATCAATAAACCACTGTTTACTAATATGGCTGGCTTTTTCTAAAGAATCCATAAGAGTACAATGTGAGTAGGTGACAGAGAAGACGAAAGGAATGTCACCCATCTTTTTGTCTCACTCCCAACCTATTCGTTCATGAAGTGTTCAAGGGTTCAGAGATGAACAGTTGCACCAAATGACCCCTCAACCTCGAATGTACATCCTCAGGCACACAAGGACTCTGGGTTTAATCTTCTAGGTTTCGCGACGGGTGCAAAGTGGAGGTCTCCGACTAAAACCATTGCACCCTCGCTTCAAAAGCGGGGGTTCTCGTCATGAGGGCGGCATGTTGCGAGTGAGAATGGTCACCATGTTGGACAACCCTTTTGAACCTTAACTTGTGCGAAATTAGTATGACCCAGTATGGTTCAGTACAGTCTTTTCGCAATCTTCCCTCCAATGGAAGCTTGAAGGGAGTTGGAGACTACTTTGGGGAAGCTGCTGTTCACTTCTATGACTGGAAACAGAGAATCGTGAAGTAAACATGGGGTCAACCACATCCCATTTTGAGCCAAGCCCAGTTGCCTAGTGACCCCTTTCAAGTTCCACCTCATGCGGAACCGGAGGGGCGTGGCTTGATTTAAAGCCTGGCCCTCACACGACCTTGCTTAACCCTGGCACAGTTCGGTAGCGCTTTTCTCGCCGGAAATGAGGAACGCGAATAGGGGCTTGGGTTGGGTCTGTCTTGGCTTCAGGTTGGTTCAGGTTGGTTCAGCCTGATTTAGGCTGGGTTTGGGGAGCTTCAGGCGTGATGACTTTGACACCTTGCGGCTACTTCCGGGGGGTTGGCGCTTCGGGGTTCGGGATCGGCTCGGACTTCTGCTGCTCTAGGGTTGGTTCAGGCAGGGACCGGGGATGAGAGTTGGCTGAATCGGGGCGGGATTTAGTGTGATTCCTGTGGGCTTCGGGTCAGTTGAGGACGCTTTTCTCGCTGAGGTTGGGGCGAGTTCTGCTGTAAGGTTTCTGTGAGGTTCGTGTTTGCCGGGTTTGGCGCTTCGCGGCAATGCCCCAACCCTGCCTAAACCAACCCAGCATAAAACGACTCCAAACCCTCTGACGTGGCAAGGCCGAGTCAAAGTCCTCACGTTTGAGCCTCACACAAACCCACCCACCCACCCAACTGCCCACCCAACTGCCCACCCAACTGCCCACCCAACAAAACCAAACCAAACCAAACCAAACCAAACCAAACCAACCCAACCCAACCCAACCCAACCCAACCCAACCCAACCCAACCCAACCCAA